CCATCATTGCAAGTGTACTTGATAAGTTCTAGCCCATTCACTAACGGAGTCATGTCTTGTAAACTATCAAAGAAGGATTTCATGACTTCTTCCTCATCAATTTCTAATATTGCATCATCAAAGTATATCGTTACCCTTTCATCATTCGGCATCATCAAACATTCATGTCGCATTTGCGATGGGTAATCTACACGACAGCCGTCATAGTCTTTTGCCACAAGTTCGTATATTTTAAAACACATTTCAGTAGCATAGCACTTTAACAATTTATTCTGTATATTGCTTTGGCGTTCAGCTAAAACATGGCTCTCATCTTCAAATTCAAAGGACGATTCCTTCACTTTCTTTGCTTGCTCAATGTCAACTTTTAAAGCCATTTTCATTTTAGTTAGACAAAAAGTACCAAATAATTTAACTCAATAAAATTGTAACGTGTTCTCCTTTTTTATATTTGCAAAGGAAACAAGAAAACGGATCTAATATTACTTTAAGAATAGAAAACAATTTTAATTAAGTTTTATCGTGTTTCAGTTAATTATGTCATCCAGGAGCAACCTTCGTTCATTTTATGTCGTTTCCAGTTTATACGCGCGCGCCCTGTTTACTTCCCAGGACTGGAAGCTAATTGACACGGGTAAGAGCTCCGTTTACTTCCGGGACCATACCTGCACCATAACTACTGACCACAACCTGGACATTTAAATTCATATACAGCATTGGCTTTAGAGAGTTCCGGAATTTTTTCCCTTTTGGGTCAGAAAGTTGATGTCTTTTTTGTTTGATTTAGAACTATAGGTTTAATGGGAATTTTTAAGCTAAGGCGAATTTTACGAAGAAGATTGAAAACCAAACGTTCATCCTGTTTGCCTAGGTATGGTATTCTAATGAAAATTTTATGAAGGTCATTCTCAGTATTTTGTTTGGGGGGAATATTTTTGGCTATGATTTTGGTTTTGAGTTTATGAATCAAGAATTTCCGGACTGTAAGAGGGAAACCATTCCATGACATAAAAGTCTTGAGTGTTTGAATTTTTTTTTGAATAATGTTTGGTTAGAACAAATCTTAAATGCCCAAAAATATAGTGAATTGATCCAAATATTTTTGTGGTTGAAATGTTCGAAACTTGAAAAATGTGTATATTGGCCAGTATGAGTTGTTTTACGGAATATATCAATGTCATTATTGGTTATTTTGAGGTCTAGAAAGTGGACATGTGAGTCAGAATAATCATCAAAATAAATTTAAGATTTTTATCAAAATTACTAAATTAGGCAAGAACATGAGGAATGTCTGAATGTCGCAAAAGAACAAAAGTGTCATCAACATAACGTCGGTAAAACTTAAGGACACCTGAGTTGATCAAATCAGTGACAATGATGTTTTCAAACTCATTGAGAATTATATTAGCTAAGAGAGGAGAAGCCGAGAAAAGATCCCATGAAAACACCATCAAGTTGTTCATAAAGAATACCGTTGCAAGAAAATATAGTTTTGGTGCATGAATCAATATACGTTTTTTCAGTGTTGATTTTCGGAGTGTGGTATTAATAATATTTTTTTGTAAATGCGATCTAGTTCAATGTTGATGGTTTTACTTGAAGGCACTCTGGTGAAAAGAGATTAAAAATCAAAAGAGACAAATTTATAACATTGGGAAAATAAATCTTTAAGTATAGATTTAATGGACCCTTTGCAGTGACGTCACACACGCTTTAGCAGCTGTTGCTGGGGGAGCATCTGGAGGACAAGCACATGTGCACGCTTTATATGTTAATCTGGCTAGTAACATAAAGTCAGCGCTTTCTAGGTCAAAAAAAAGTTTTTGACTGGATATATAGAAAATATTTAATTTAAGGATAGTAAAGCGCGTTACGTAATGAAATTAGAACATTGCAGTGGAGATGATAGGTATAAAATACCAAAAAACCAATGGCTCGACGATATCGATTTGTGGCCTGCTGTCAGCTAAATTGATGTTGGCATGTATTTATTATTTTCGGTCAGTCCGTACACGAAAGAGCAGTTAAAAATCTATAAGAGTCTTGATAGTTATCAAAATTTTGTGAATGAATGGGTGCGTGAAGTGTTGGTGAAAAAATATGACGATCATTGCTTGCTTATTGCCAAGGTAAATGCTTCTCAGTTGTCACTAAAAACATTGCACATTGGCTGCATTCGTGCTCTAATGAGACTGAACGCCTTGTTTCTTTTTTCACTACACCAGGTTAATCGCTCTCAAAGAATGTCGGAGAAGCGACTTACTCCTTGGGTTGTTTACGAAAAGAACAGCACAGTATTAACAGCGCACTGCGATTGTATGGCAGGAATAGGTGAAAGCTACTCTCACGTCGCTTCACTTCTGTGGGCTGTTGAAGCTGGTGCACGAAAACGAGATTCTTTAACTGTGACTGATAAGAAGGCATACTGGGTCCTTCCAAGTGCTGTCAAGGTTGTGCCATATACGCTAAAGTAAAGAATGTCAATTTTAGTAAATTTAATAAGAAATGCGCAATTATTTAATAAGAAGGCAAAGTGCAAAGAAATCCAGTTCCTGCCCCATCATCGCCAGAATTGGATGAATATTTTAAAACTATAAGTTCTTCCTCAATCAAAACCAGCAATACTTTCTTTAGTGCATCCATATTCTGATTGTTATGTACATAAAGCCTTGCACTCTGACTTGCCACCAGTCATGAGTGATCTATATGATCCCACACTATTAGATAAATCACTTGAAACTTTGCTGGAATTATCAGAGTCGAAACTGGACTGCCTTAATGTTACAATTGATCAGCAAAAAGCTGTAGAAGAAAAAACTAGAGATCAAGCGAATTCTCGTCTTTGGTTTCGATTTCGTGCTGGAAGAGTGACTGCTTCAAGGTTGAAAGCAGCTTGTCGCACCAGCAGAGGTTCACCTTCCAAGAGTCTGATCACAAGCATTTGCTATCTAGAGCTGAAGAAATTTTCAACTGCAGCAACAAGATGGGGTTGCCAGCATAACAACTCCATTACCTTCGTCAGGTTTCAGAATGTGAAGTGATTTAACGCGATACGATGTTTTAGTCCACTGATTTTTTAAATTATATTAGCGGAAGATCTGCACGATATGATGTTTGGTACGGCCGTACGGGAAACAACTTTATGTATTAAAAGGATCTTAGTTCTGTGGTTAATAATTTTGCAAGATTTACAATTACTATGACTTAGGAAGCCTGCGGAGCCAGATTTATAAATTCAAAAGAGTAACGAATTTTTGCGAAACGCAAGCTTGTTTCAATATGGCAAAGGAGGTGTATTCACTAAAAAATGAATGTGTTGTAAACTACAACGAAGGAGCTGAGGAAATTTTTGGAAGATCTGAAAACTGAATTAAGAGTACGCTCCATTTTCATTTGCAATATTAAAGTTGATTGTATGTATTCTGGTTACACTATCAAAAAATAAAGAAAATTAACACATGCGCAGTTGAAAAGTACGGTGGCCCAAAAGTGCAACATACAAATATTTTTTGAAACACACAAATATTTTTTAAAACATTTTATTACGTGAAGTGAATGCACAATTTTCATAAACGTAGCTCAATTTTTATTCATTTTTGCTGCATATTTATTCATTGTTGCTGCATTTTTATCAAACAGATATGCGCTCGCACGCACATGCTTACTTAGATCCAAACTATGCTATAAAAATATAATTGAGTTTCAATGGCGGCAAAAGCATTGACTTCATTTTGCTTGCTTTTTCTATTTCCGTAGAAATATGTTTTGTGCTTCTTGTGGTACAGCCTTAATTGAAGAAGCTAATTTCTGCCACCAATGTGGTCAGTCTATTAGCTCAAAACTAAATGCTTTGAATGGCGATAATGTCACATACAACATAATTGAGGAATATTTTATCATGGTTATACATATAATAACATTGTAGATCTACTTTGTATAGATCGTGGAATTGTCATCAATTTGAGCACATTAAAAAATGAAAGAAAATGGTCTAAGGCGTCGTGAGGGACAATTCAACTAGCCATTGTTCGAAAAGCTGTTGTGAAGGAGATTCAAGAAGCTGGGTCAATTGCGGGTCATAGATCAATCTGGCATGCGTTTGAGGTCGAGGAATCACTTGATACGTTGTTTCAACTTTGATGTAAGAAATTGACCAAATTGAAGTACAAGAAAGAAGGGAAAGACTCTTAAGCGAAGGACACATTATTCATTCAGACCAAATTTTGTGTTGCACATAGATGGTAAATATTATGAATGGTAATCTTTTCACTTTTATTATCATATTGTCTGATGTTTTAAAACTATTTTTAGGTTACGACAAGCTAAAGCCCTATGGATTCCCAATATATGCATGCATTTTATCTACGGTAGAAGGATAATTTGCCTAGAAGTTGTAAAATCTAATAATAACCCAAAGATTCCTGCAAAGTTGGACTTTGATATTGTCCGGAATTCAAGGGGTGCCCAGATATAGTACGCTCAGATTTTCGGACAGAAAATGTTTTATTGCAGCCATGCAATGTTATTTCGGCCCCTAGATGAAGATGCACATGGAAATACAAATGCTCTTTAATATGGCTCTTCTCCTTAAAACCAACATATCGAAGGATGGTAGTCATACTTCAGACGAAATCACTCTAGTTTGTGGATCGATATGTTTAAAGATACGGTTGATTCAGGGAATCTGCAACTTGGGAAAAACTTTCAGATGAGTTGTTTGTGGTTTTACTTTTTTTTAAGTGATTCAAAATGAATTAGAACAGATTAGAGAACAGTCATTACATTAGACGTTCTCGCCATGATACAATACCACTGGTACCTAATATAATGTACTACCTTCCTGAGAATACTGGTGGTGGTGGTGTGGATTTTCTTGTCTTTGTTTCTCAAGACAAAATAGATGAGGTTGAGCCCCAGTGTTTGTTAGATGAAGATAAAGAACAGGATTATGAAGATTACTTTCATTTCTTAATGCAATCAAAAAAATTTAGAATAACCTATAAATGCAGAAAAACCTCTGATCTTTTTCAATATTTCAAAAGCTTACAAGATATTGCATAAACTCAAATAAGATGAAATAAAAATATGAATCTGTGACTTGACCATTGCTTTTCAAACTTTAGTGAACCTACAGAATTAAACAATGCATTCAAAAAATATCCAGCAATATAGCCAGCCTTGAAGTTCAGTCATGTTGTGTAAGATTCAGTGCGTTATACATGGTTATTTATATCTTCAGAAATCTTGTTAAGACAGTTAGTGAACACAAAACAAATTTAATAGCAAGACCAAATTTACTGGATGCCTAAACTAATGTTAAAATTATAATAAAAAAATAGAGCTTTAACAATAACATTTGCATTAGAAATCATTTAATTTGGGTTGTACGTATCTTGCCAGACATTCTTTTTAATTTTCTTTATAGTTGACCAAATCCATAAGAATCTTTAACAGCTAAAAGCAGTATATCTGTTATTATTGCCTCATTAATCATATGTACTGGGAGATTGATTCATAGATCAAAGGTACAAACAGTTCACCTTCTTTTGAAATTTTCCTCACATCCATGATTTGAGCAATTGAGCCCTGAATTTTTTGGGCAAACCAAGGGGTGGAAACTCTAGGTGATCCAGTGAGCCATTTGAAAAAGTCTTACATGCACAAATTCTCCACACCTAAAAGTGCACAATATTAATTTTTGCCCCACAACACGTAATAACTGACATGCCACCTTTTTTAATTGAAAACAAGTTCAGCATTATTGCTTCCACTCTCAATTGCTTTCAATACATCAGCAAAATATTTGAAAGTGTCGATTTCATTCTCCTTTTCAAGTTGTAATGAACTGAAATCCACTTGTATTTGATCCAATATACAATGAGCTGATACTTGAAATATATTTCAAACTCAAACAACACTCTCCATAAGTCAGGATTTAACTTGATATACTTCAATATTCCACAATTTACCAATCCTTGCTCTATTTGAAGCAACTGTGGTAGGATTTTCCCTAGCTGGTCTTTGACACATAATGATCTTAATGAAAATGCCATAACAGAAGAAAATAAACATGTTGAAATAGTGATGGAACTCTTCTTAAGAATGGTAATGAATTGAAGTAATACTCTTTATCTAATGGTATTGACAGTGACACGACGTAAACACGACGTGTCGACAATTTCATCAAATGTATAGTATTTGCAACAAATGGGGCATTGGATATTATCATTCAATCTTGTGGTTAATGGAGGTGAAGTTAATCTTGAAAATTCATTTCTTTTGCAACAGATTCGTCACAATCAGATTGGGTGACTTCCAGTTTTGCCGTGTTCAGCAAAAGCCCGCTATATTCATTGCCTGTCAATAGTGGAGATTTGGATTGTTTATTTTCAATTTTGTTTTCAGTTGCAACAGATTTAGAACTACCAAATTCTAAAACTTCCTCGTTTTCCACTATTGATTGATAAACTGTTGTGTTAGCTGTTGTATTGTCTATTTATACGGCAGATTTTGATCATTGGTGCTCATTATACAAAACATTGATAATGTCTCCAATATACCATACTTTAGATGGTTTAGATCTAAGTAAGCCTGTGCGGGCGGCAGATTTTGATCCTTGGTGCTCATTATACACAACATTATTAATGTCTCCAATATACCATACTTTAGATGGTTTAGATCTAAGTAAGCCTGTGCGGGCGGGCTCATATCTGTTTAATAAAAATGCATCAAGGATGAATAAAAATAGAGAAACAATGAATAAAAATGAGTACGCGATGCGTACACATGGATAGCCTATCAAGTAAATAGGGCTAAATGAAGTTGGTAAATGAACATAATTGAAATAAAATTGTACATTTAATATCGTTTACACGAAACTCGTTCAATATTTAAATATTTATTTTAGTTATATGACTAAGTAAGTGTTTAACCATTTCTGCATTTTTCGAACGCTTTAGCTTAGATTGCACATAAGCCTCATAAATGCATATGCTTGAATCGCACTAAGGAAAGTAACGTCATTTAGATTTCTTGCGACTTTTAAAGTTTTTTTTCACTGAAAACCATTTTTTCAATAATTGTGTTTCAAAAACGTTTTCTGACATGTCGTAGATGTCGTTCAGAGAACGTTTCCCCCCGTAACAATGAATACTATATTTTTTTGAACAAATACAGTGGTGTGCTAATTTTTTCTCACCACGCGTGCGGCGCTTAATGGAGGGCAACGCCAGCTCGGAGGCGGTGCTTGTTCGAACAAATAGCGAGTTTCCGAAATCACAACGGCGACGTCGGCGGCGACGTGTGGTCTGTAATTTTTTGAAATTACGCATGCGCGAGTCAGAGGAAACCGCAAACTGAAGTTCTTGCCTACACGACCGACGTGAAATGAGTAAACATCATGTTTCAGCTACGACCGGAGGCGAAGGAAGTAAACTTTGATACAATTTTTAGCAAAGCATAATAAACTCAAGTAAATTTTCTATCTTATGATTTCTTATTTATGTTTTTGATGGATAATTTTTGAGAAACTTTGTGAACTGTTGATATTAATACATATTTTTAAGAAATAAGACTGTAAACATTAATATTTCATGAAGTACAATTAAGGAGTTAATAAATTTATAATGTAAACGAACTATTGTATTTTTAAGGCAGTGGGGGCTAACTTGGAGGCCTTTGGGAGCGTATTACCACCTTGTATTTATAAAATGTGTCTTAAAATATGTCTTGATCAAAAATTATTCCAATGTTTCTCATGTAATTTTTTCATATAATGTAAATTCAGACAAACATGACATAGTCATCCCAAAGGAAAGAATTAGATATCTTCAATTGAAATATTTTTGAACTAATGAGGCCTTACACTCAAATTACTTGGAAGTGGTTGAGCCATAAAAGCAAAACCTTGCATTTTGTAAAAGAACACATACGATGTACATCTTACCACAGCCCGTAATTGAATCTTCAGATTTTTATGAAAGTCTAAAAACGCGAAATAGTTTATAATATCACCAAACACCCATTCATCAGAGGAGCGAACAGCACTCATAGCTTTGTTCCAGTTCTTCTGCTCTTCGGTTACTTGTGCCCCCCTAACTTGTGCTTGGAGTTGCAGACGTATGGGGTAAGTAAATGCAAAGAACAGAACCATCACGTGCTCTTGAATGTTGTTGAAGGGATTCTAATAATGCTGATGTTGTAAGCATGGTGCTATCGTTTCATTTCCCTTCCACAGGTCCATAAAGATTAGCACACAATCCATTAGGTGCAACGACAGATTGGAATTTAATTGCATGTACTTTTTTATGTCCATTGCATAACACCCTTTGGTGTTGACCTGGTCGACACACTCTCCTTACCGTTCCATATATAAATCCCCAACAATTTTGCAAAGGTGCACCATGATCATGAATTTTCTGAGCATATTGTTGTAAGTTTGCAGGTGAAAGCCATTCTTGTTTGAAGCAAATAACCCCAACGTTCATAATCAAAGTTCATGGCGAGGTTGGTCATCATTGAAAGTTGTGTGACAAATAGGGCAAACCTAGGAATAATATCGAAATACCTGTAAGGATATGCAAATCTTCTAAAAAGAACACAGAGTGAATTCAGACCCAAAACTTTAAAACCATTAACACATTACATTTCCTCGGGCATTTGTAGAACTTCGTAAAGTGTGTATATGTCATTTTTCCAAAAGCGAAACTCAGCTTTACACTCGTCGTTATACAGGTTACCCAGGTCAAATTGGTCGTTGTCCCAATATTGCAAATCAAAATTTTTTTGATCCGTTAACGTCAAGAGCATCAAGAACTCTTCATCGTCAATGAAATCCTGATCATGAGCATGCAGCAAAGCTATTCTATTTTTTCTAAAGCTTGCCATTTATTTTAAAGTATAAATAAAACCAATGAGTTTTACCAATGAGAGTACCACAACGTTTTTACACTTCAAAATTAAACATTTGACGGAACGAATAACATGTGCGACGGCAACGGCAACGTCATGGATGAAGTCTCGTTGCCGTCACCGTTATGCTTTCGGAAACTCCCTAATAACGTAAACACGACGTGAGTTAAGTTTTTTATTGTTACTTTTCTTTCATCATGCTTTGAAATGTCTATATTTTTCCAAAGATTTTGGGCTTATTGCGAACAATGTTTGATAGTAAACGCTTTGCTCAATGATTGCAAGTGATCGAAATTATTTTGTGTTTCCTGTTCTTGGACTTTATAGTTTGACACGTATCATATTTCACTAGATGTAAGATTGTAAGCCACACAAATAATACTTATATTTCGCACAATATTCGAAAGCAAAATTAATTTATTTGCTTTCGACATTTGTTTAAACTACTCTAACTCTGGATGAGTAAATCGAGCGATGTATAAGCAATGCGAATAATACCAATTGAACCTATCACCAGACAGTAGATTGTAATATATACATGAATTGCCTCTTCGTCAGCCAGCCAGCATTTGAATAATATCTTCACTTTTAGATGTTACTTTTTTTTATGAAGTTTCATATTATTGAAATTTCGTTTGTATAATCGATGATCGGGCTCATGTTTAGTTCCACTCGACTGAATAAATAGCAACAGGCAATAAAATACAAGTCAATTTCTATATATTCAAAATAACAACATTTTCACATGATTATGTCACCAATTCTTTGCTTATTATATATAACTTCACAGCTCACAAATATCTTATGTATTACATACGTACTATATGTGCGCTCCTAATCACTGTCATATTGACTTTACGCACATTACAATTTCACCGTAAACTTTCGATTAGAAAGTAACGAAATGAGAAAACTTAATGACAAAATTCCCTTTGATACTATACAAACTCATCGGAAAAATCGGCGAGCTCATATGAAACAAGCAGTATGGTTATAAATCTTAATAACGATTTGTCTCAAGGAAGTGTCGCGATGTGCTGTGCGTTTATCCATGACTAATACTTGAGGTTAGTAAGGAGTTGCGAAAGGTCTTAAATATTCGAAAATCCTTGTATGTAAACGTTATCCGCCATACATTTCTATAGTGATTTTTGTATCTCGCCGTGGTACCCGGAAGTGAATTTTGCATATATAATTAGGCTTCACTTTTGATACCTGTAGAAGCCATATCCAATGTATTATCAGATCAGTGGATTTTTCGCAAAGATGGAACAGTGTCTGGTACTGCAAAGAAAGCTGGAAGTTTGTTTGTATTGGATTTCAAGTGCACGTTTGAACACGTAAAAGTCATGAATGAAGAAATTGGAATATGTAATGCGATGCTGTGGCATCGACGTCTGGGTCATCTCGGAGGTCACGGATTGAGACAAATTGTAAATAAAAATTTAGTGAAAGAATAAAATTTTGACATCAAGAAGAATCTAGAATTCTGTGATGAATGTGCAAAAGGAAAGCTTCATCGTAAATTCGTAATTCGTTTCCTCATGGTGAAGCGAACAGAGCATCTGATCCTCTTGGTCTAGTGCACAGTGACGTCTGTGGGAAATTAAATATAAAACCCTGTGGTGATGCAGAATATTTCTTGACGTTTACTAATGATAAAACTCGATATGTTATGATTTATACTTTGAAACAGAAAAGTGAAATATTCAGCAAGTTTCAAGAATAGAAAGCTTCTGTTGAAAAAGCAAGTGGGTATAAACTTAAAACCTTAAGAAGCAACAACGGCGGCGAATTCAAGTCGAATGAATTCAAGAGCTACCTAAAATATGAAGGAATAAAGCAAGAGCTCACCATACCAAAAAACTCCCGAGCAAAATGGTGTAGCTGAGCGTCTTAAGCGAACGCTAATGGGGTCTGTTCGTACCACGTGGATTCAAGCGAAGCTGCCGCAAAGATTTTGGGTTGAAGCACTTACGACAGCCGTGTATTTACATAATAAAAGCCCCACAAAAAGTCTATTGAAGATGACAGTATTTGAAGCTGGGTTAGGTGTGAAAGGAGACGTCAGTCATTTAAGAACATTTGGTTGTGTTGCCTATGTTCATGTACCGAAGGACGAGAGAAGAAAGCTGGATTCAAAAGCTAAGAAGTGTATTCCGCTGGAATATGGTGCAGAAACTAAAGGTTATCGTTTGTTTGATCCAAATTGTTCTAGAGTCATTTTTAGTCGTGACGTCAAATTTAATGAAAATCAGTATGGATTTGAGAAGGAGCCTGAAACAAACGAGAGTCTACCTGGACGTGTGATCTTACAGCTTTCTGATGATGACGAGAACAATGACGGTGGTGAAAACAACGTGGTTAATGACGCACCACTGGCATAGAATAGAGAATATATAGAAGGGCAACTCGCGTCGGTAACCTTTGATGTAAGCGTGGCACGCAGCTTGTTTCGCGCATACCGGAAAAGTGACGGCCGCCATTACTCTGGCCAGTAAAGTGTACAACATTTACTATGAAAATATATGGAGTGGAAGCCGTAAAGTGGGTTAAAATGTAGATTTTTTGAGCTGTTGGCTGTTTTTGGCATCTTTTTGAAAGAAATTGAAATAAAAAGGCAAGTATTTTGTATATATCATGTAACAAATGCATTTATTTAATATATTTATAGCGAAATTCAGTCGTAAAGCTTGAACAAGTTCTGAGGTTCACAAGTCCTGAGGACTTAAATGAACTTGGATGTATTACATGTTAAATATATTATTGTGATATAAAAAGCTTTTGTTTTCAATTTAGTTTTATAAAGGACAAAAAATTATATGCATAAAGCCCTCAAAGGTGTGTGACTTTAATGTACTTTCTGTCTTTCTTTTTAGTTGTTGCGAATATGCGGTTCGCAAATTTTATGGCGTAATAAATGCGCATTCTTACAAAAAGTTTCTGCAAGAACTCAAATGGGAATTCCGTACAGCAATCAAATTCCTTTGGTATGGACTTGACAGTGTCTAATATACATCGACCAACACCTTCGCTCTTTGTGTAGACAGAAAACGTCTTAATAAATGTGTCTTCAAGTTTAATGATGTATTCCAGATAAGGAGAAGATGGTGATTGTAGTCCTCCTAAATCAGATTTCTTTTCATTGAATGCTTTAAAGTGGCAGAATAACTTTCTGCTATCATCCAGTTCTGTAGATGAAAGAGCATTGGTGCATTTCAGACAAGAGTGGAGTTTGAAACTCTTCATTAGAAGAAAACCAGACACATATGCAATGGCATTTTCCCTCATTATGTTAGTAACAACATTTGGCTCCTTGTAGATAGTAGGACCAATTGCTAAAATTTGTGGTTGCGGAGGTGGAAAGACTTGAACCGTTTTCTTCTGGCTGACTTTATTCCTTGCAACATTTTTGGAATACTGAACCAGCATAGAATCAAGGTCGTTGTCACAATTTCCATATGAACAGGTTAGAAGGGAACTGAAGAAAAGCTTTCTAAATGCTTGCATAAATTGGTTTGGAGTGGGGTTATCACTATTGCCTCCCTGGCGACGAATAGTACCAAAAATGGAAAATGTACAACTTTATAATCTCGAATCAAAAAGTTGCAATAGAGACGCACACGTGAGAAAGATCCACAGCAAACCCAATATACAATGCTTTGGGCGATTTGAGAATTGAATAACATTGGAAACTTATTTTGATAAAGACATTTCTGAGTGAAAAATATGTACAAAATAACAGCAATAGAAGAAATGCTAATTTCTCTATAAATATTGGTATACTAAACAATTAAGCTGAAGAAGTTGTGATCAATGTTTAATAGAGCACCCTTACAAAAACCAACCAATCATAATAAAAACGTAATAGAATTTAACAAACAAAGTTTAACATGCTACTGCAACAAGTAGCCACTAAAATCTAATCCAACATACTAAAACTACATAACACAAGACACTTGCAACATAATCCTCACTTGAGAACTGAATGCCAAAATAACAACTAGAAAAAAATATTAGAAAATAAATCATAACTATTTGCAATAAATTTAATAGAGCACAAATCACAGCAAGGCAAAATTTATAAATAAGGCAAACAGAGTGTATACCTCACTAAAACTACATTTGGTATTAAAAATGCCCAACTATTTACATATTAACATTTCACTCATGCTTGAAATGATAAACAAACCCTCCATGGTTTGAAACTGAATGTTGCAAATTATTATCAGTTATAATTCACACACAAGCATCATGAATCATTATTGGATTACTTGGTTAGCTGGTTGATTAACTTAATTTATAGTTTAGCAAGTTGGCAAGTTGCAACCTGAAATATTACAGCGTTGGTACAAGTAAAACTCTGACAAGTTTGTGTTTTAAATAATACATTTATAATAACACATCAAAAGTTTGAAATTTATAATTCAGAATGGACGAAAACGCAAGAGATTTTACTTCTGGACTTCTATTCACCTAACATACTGACAACTCTATAGCAGTAAAATAAACACCCTACATTGAAACATGTAATTTTTACCAATAAAAAACCTTTACGGACTTGCCAGCAATTAAATAATGGTCTCTCACCTTATTTCTTTCACGTTTTGTCACAAAATTCCATAATCTTCCTAAGCAGTTTGCGTTTTAGGCGATTATTATCCCAAAATCGCACTTTTCCAATATTATTTTATAGTACGCTAGCGTCAAGTTACTGGCCAGAGTTATGGCGGACCCAACGCATGCGCAAAGAAAATATGCCACGCGTTTCACCTGCGAGTTGCCCTTCTATATATTCTCTATTCTATGCCACTGGTTCTTCCTGTAAGATAACGACGCCTACCGGATCGTTACGGAGAATGGAAAAGGGCTATGCAGGAAGAAATTGACTCGCTCAATGTATATGAGTGCTGGAACTGACAAAACTGTTCGTATTACGATATATTTTAGCAGAGAAAACACTTTGAACATAAAAGTAAGTTTTTTTATTACGATAAAAGAAAAACGCAACGAACGTCGTGCAAACGTAACATGCGCCCACGATATAACCTTAAACTTAGTTAATACTTCATAACAACTTAGTTAAGAATGTTGAGTGTAATTTACAACACTCCCACTCACTCAATATGTCATAATGTTTATATAAGTCCCAGTTTGCATCGCAGCTATTCAAATTGTTCTCTTGGTAATGGTTTAGTAAAAATATCTGCCACCATTTCCTTGGTTGGACAATACTTTATTTCGAGTGTTCCATCTTGAACTTTCTCGCGCACGAATTGGTGTTTAATATCAATGTGCTTTGTCCGCTTGTGTAGCACTGGATTCTTTGAGATAGCGATTGTACCTTGATTATCTTCATGTATGGTTGTGGCCGCAGTACAATCTATTTGCAGGTCTATCATCAATTGTCGCAGCCATACTAATTCTTGGGTTGCATAACATAACGCAATGTACTCCGATTCCGACGTTGAAAGAGCCACTGTTGGTTGTTTCTTGCTTGCCCAACTGATTGCACCACCTGACATTATAAACACATTTCCGGCAGTTGACCGTCGATCGTCTGTGTCAGAGGCCCAGTCTGCATCAGAGTATCCCTCTAAATCGATACTGGTTTTTTGGTACTGCAGGCTTAGTTTACAAGTTCCTTTCAAGTAACGAAAGATGCGTTTCATAGCTGTAAGATGTGCTTCGTTCGGTGCTGTGTTGAATTTAGCTAATGTTGTTACTGCTTGAGCTATATCTGGACGGGTAGCAATTGCCGCGTATATCAAACTTCCTACCATTGACTGATAATGAGAGGCATCGACTGATTTGCTGTGTCCATCTCCTTTAACAAGTTTGACGCTTACATCCATTGGCGTAGACACTGTCTTGCAGTCTTGTAATTTATACTTTTTCAGAATCTTGTTGCGGTATTGCTCTTGATTAATTAGTAACACACCGTTCTTTATAGTAATACTAACTCCTAGGCAGTAGTGGAGTACGCCCATATCTTTCATCTTGAATTGGTTTGCCAAATTGGCCTTTAGGTCATTCATCTCTTCTTCAGTTTCAGTCAGAAGTATGAGGTCATCAACGTGAACAGTGATAATCGCCTGCTTATCTTTGAGAAAACGAATAAATACGCAAGGGTCTGCTTCACTCTGAACAAATCCTAATGATAACATAAGCTCTCTGAAAACCTTATTCCAGCAACGTGGACTTTGTTTTAGGCCATAAAGCGATTTTTTGAGACGACACACTAGCTTTTCTTTTCCTGGTTTTACGTAGCCTTCGGGTTGTTGCATGTATATTTCCTCTTCCAATGTTCCATTGAGGAATGCCGTTACTACATCCATTTGATGGATCAACATACCTCGAGATACACCAAAAGCCAGAAGAGTGCGAATTGACGAAAAACCAACCACTGGAGAGAATGTCTCTTCATAGTCAATTCCATATTTTTGCAGAAAACCCTTAGCCACCAGACGACCTTTAAATCTCTCTACCTTTCCTGTTTCATCGTGTTTAACTTTAAAGACCCACTTGCAACTGATAGGCTTACGTCCAGCTGGTAATTCGACTAATTCCCAGGTCTCATTCTCTAGTAAAGACTGGTATTCTGCATCTGCAGCAGCTTTCCATTTCGTTGCACATTCACTATTAAGAGCATCTTTTAGGGCTTCTGGCTCTGGGATCTCAGATACGTAAAGTGCTGCATACCTCGATGTAGTGATCCCAGCATACCCGTCGTGGTAATATATTGGTGGATTTCTCTCTCTTCCTGAGCGTCAAGGCTCATTTGGGGGGCCTTGTTGTTCATTTCTGGTTGCACGAACTTGTCCCTTTATTTCTGTTTCTTCTTCAGCACACTCGGTATTTCGGTAATGTCTTCACCACACTTCATTTGAGCTTTTGTTGATCCAAAATCTGTTTCATTAAATGTAACTTCCCTCCGAATGAAGACTTTTTGTCGATTCTCATCATACAGCCTGTATCCTTTCTGTGTAAGGCTATAACCAATAAATCTCATCTTGACTGCCTTTTGGTCGAATTTCTGGCGCACCGCATCAGGAATATGAGCATAAGCAGTACAGCCGAAGACACGAAAATGGGACACATTTGGCTTCTTTCCATACCATCTTTCATACGGAGTTACCGCAGTTGCAGTCGTAATGACTCGATTTCTTATGTAGGCTGCATTGCATACTGCTTCAGCCCAAAAAGCTTTGGACAGTCCAGCATGCAAAATCATAGAAAGACCTTCTTCTTAGATTGTCCGATTCATGCGCTCAGCTATCCCGTTCTGCTGGGGTGAATGTGGCACTGTTGTCTCATGGCAAATTCCTCTCTCCTTTAAAAAATCTTCAAACTCAGTGGATGTATATTCACCCCCATTGTCCGTGCGTAGTGTTTTTATCCTACACTCTGATTGGTTTGTGACTGCTGCCTCCCACTCCTTGAATTTTCCAAGCACTTCTGACTTGTGCTTCATTGGATATACCGTAACACATCTGGAGTAATCATCAATGAAACTGACAAAATATCTTGCACCTCCAAGGCTTTCAGTCTTCAGAGGTCCGGCAACATCACTATGAACCAACTCCAATCTTTTGGTTGATTGAATATCTCCCACTGTCTTAAATGGTGTTCGGTGTGCCTTTCCTTCTGCACATGCCTCACAAAAGCTTGAATTGCAAGATTTAGGTATGTCCATACCTGTGATAAGTTGCTTTGAAGCCATAGTTTTCATTTGACCGACATTTAGATGTGCCATTCTTTGGTGTCATGGATCAAGTTTAGTGCCACTTTCATTAGCAACTGATGCATTGATAAGCAAGTTATCCAGAAGAATGGAAGCGTTTGGTTGAGACAAACTACCTACACTAAAACCATTTTAAACTAGTTTGGAATGGAGAATTGCAAACAAGTAGGAACACCTGTTGAATCGTGCTCGAAGCTTATGAAGTGCACAGAGGAGAGTGAAATGTTTGATAAACACAAATATTAGTCAGCAATTGGTGATTTACTCTATTTATCTTCGGCTACATGTGCTGATATAACGTTTGCAGTAAACAACGTCGCAAAATTCAGTTCCAATCCTACACAAGAGCATTGGACAGCAGTGAAGAGAATTTTCCGATATCTGAAAGGAACATTCGATTATGGCTTACATTACACGCTCGAAACAAGTTTGGACTGCGTTGAATTTTCTGATGCAGATTTGGGTGAAGATATTAACGATGGAAAATCAACGTCCGGATATATTTTTCTAATAAACGGTGCTGCAGTCAGTTGGAAAAGCAAGAAACAAAGCTGTATGGCATTGTCGACTGCAGAAGCTAAATATATAGCCGACCTACTTTTAGACGACCTACTATTTCAATTGCAAAGATTATACAGACATTAAAGGAAAGGTTGCTCAAAGATCTTTATGAATGATACAAGACTTTAACAAAATAAGATTTACTCAACATTTTGTTATGTACATTGCTGAGAAGCTAGTGGGAGATTAGAGACCCCTGGGTCAAAAGTTGGCGATAGGAACTTTAGAATTGGACAGGATGCACGTCGATTAGAAATGTGTGAATGAGAATGCATCTTAAATGCTTTTACAATGAAGGGGTAAAAGGATAGTAGCCACAAAAAATGGACTGTTTACTATGTAAGACAAAGTCTAACAATAGATTTTAATCATTGAGAGGAGCGACTTAAATTGTTGTATTGTAATGCGGAGTAAAAAGAATACTTATAGAAAGGTTTCTTACTATAATTTCACATTTACAGGGTGAAGAATAATGAAATTTGACGATTTGAGGTTTTAATCTGCCTACTCAGTCTGCAATCATACTTAACAGCTGACAACGTCACAAAAGGTTGTGAAGAACAGAATTTTGGGTTTATAGAGGATAGAACAAAATCTTCATAAACACTGTTGCCTGTTGGAATTAAAATTTTGGTATGAGACATGACATTTTAGTAGGCTTTTGTCACATAGCAGCTCTAGCCAATAAGACTTATATATCACACCATGGCCTACTTAATTTACACGGCCTGATATCTTGCCACAGCAAGGTCAAAAATGCAAGGCCATTGAATTTTCCGGAGGTGCTCTTCGAAATTTTGATCTTCTTCCTTCAAAATTATTCATTGGCCTTACTTTATGGTATAATCTTGTAGCTAAAAGTCTAGCGATCATTTCAAGAGTTTATTGGCTGAAATTGGTCCTTTTTTCGCCGAGATATCAAAGTTTATAAATTGGTGCGATCGGCGGTTGTTTTGTTTATCACGCGCTCGTCTTCGTTCGAAAATTTTAGCTCTTAAATCTATCGTGGATTATCTATATTTGGTATCTACGTGTTCCTGGTACTCTCCTCTACATTTCTACAAGATTTTTGGAGTCGAATTGTATACATTTTTTCTTTTATTTACGAAAATCTTCAAACCCATAATTATAGCGATGGTGCTTCCTATTTTCAACGGTGTCCTTCCTACTCCAACTACGCCTAAGAAAATTTCATCAAATCCAAACGATTTCATTGGTAAATCATACTATCCCTTACCTTTTCAAGCTTCCTCATTAATTGGAAATCGTGGTATTGGTTCTTCTCCATCCTGGGACATCAATATAAACAATAAATCGATCAAACTTAAAATAGAATGGTATGTTGAAAAGAACAATAACAGTTATCATGAATTCCCAAAATCTCTACTTAACATACTATCAGCCTACAACTTTGTACAACCTACCTGGTCCTCCTCCTTTGCTGAAGAGAAACTTTCTTTCAAGTTTGAATGGAAACTACTCTCTGATGCTACTAACCAACCTGAACAAAACTCCATCTACTAACTTACCTTTACATACTCCTGACTTTGGCTATACATCAACATCTAAATCATATGTATATTCACCACCCAATCTTACAACTCCTACCAAACTCTTCCACAATCATGCTGCTGCTTTTCTAAATCCTCTCACTCCTCCATACACTCCTTACCATCAAGGTACTTTTCAGGTTAATAAAGTCCTGAGAAGGACTATTTTTGTTGTTGTTGACTGAAGTTTCGACAACCTTAGCGGTAGTCATCTTCAGAGTCAAATGAGGAGTAAATGTCAGGTTAGCTCAAAAGAGGAAAATGATGACTCTAAAGATGACTACCGCTAAGGTTGTCGAAACGTCAGTCAACAACAACAAAAACAGTCCTTCTCAGGACTTTATTAACCTGGACGATCATCATTTACAAACATATAACGATACTCCCGGGTTCAAACCATTTACTTTAAGGTACTTTTCCTCATAAAAGGAAAAATACTCCATCTACACAAACTAAATCCAAGGACAAACCTAAACACAACACAATACATGTTCCTGACTCAACTATCAAAAAGACTTCATCTCACAGGTGGTGAATATACATACGATTTAGATGTTGATGTATAGCCAGAGTCAGGAGTATGGAAAGGTAAGTTAGTAGATGGAGTTTTAACTTGTTCAGGTTGGTTAGTAGCATCAGAGAGTAGTTTCCATTCAAACTTGAAAGAAAGTTTCTCTTCAGCAAAGGAGGAGGACCAGGTAGGTTGTACAAAGTTGTAGGCTGATAGTCTGTTAAGTAGAGATTTTGGGAATTCATGATAACTGTTATTGTTCTTTTCAACATACCATTCTATTTTAAGTTTGATCGATTTATTGTTTATATTGATGTCCCAGGATGGAGAAGAACCAATACCAAGATTTCCAATTAATGAGGAAGCTTGAAAAGGTAAGGGATAGTATGATTTACCAATGAAATCGTTTGGATTTGATGAAATTTTCTTAGGCGTAGTTGGAGTAGGAAGGACACCGTTGAAAATAGGAAGCACCATCGCTATAATTATGGGTTTGAAGATCTTCGTAAATAAAAGAAAAAATGTATACAATTCGACTCCAAAAATCTTGTAGAAATGTAGAGGAGAGTACCAGGAACACGTAGATACCAAATATAGATAATCCACGATAGATTTAAGAGCTAAAATTTTCGAACGAAGACGAGCGCGTGATAAACAAAACAACCGCCGATCGCACCAATTTATAAACTTTGATTTCTCGGCGAAAAAAGGACCAATTTCAGCCAATAAACTCTTGAAATGATCGCTAGACTTTTAGCTACAAGATTATACCATAAAGTAAGGCCAATGAACAATTTTGAAGGAAGAAGATCAAAATTTCGAAGAGCACCGCCGGAAAATTCAATGGCCTTGCATTTTTGACCTTGCAATGGCAAGATATCAGGCCGTGTAATTTAAGTAGGCCATGATCACACCAATCAAAGTTCTAAACGACGACCTTTAACATTTCGAGCTCATAGCTTGTTGACATAAAGTTCCAACTTTCGAATTGCCTATACTAACCAAAATCTACGGGAATTAATATAATTCCGCGATTTACCGATAAAATGTTAGTTTGCTATGGTTACGTGGGTGTTAAACAAAACAACGGTAGCTGCGTGACACAAAATAATTTGTTATAAAGTATTTCTTGTATAGCTGTAATTTTTCAAAAGTTTAGTTTTAAATCGTTTTCATTTAACTATATTGATGTTCTTAGTGAACGAAAATTACATGACTGATAAACATTCGAACAATTAGATTAACGTATTGACTTGCCTGTCAGACTATAGAGAGCCATAAATATTTGTTGGTATTTGCAATGCAAATTCAGTGCAAAGCTACACCTGCTTTACGCCATTTTCTGATCGTGACAAAGTTAGTTCACTTTCTACTGTTTTTCTTAATTAAACTTCACGGGTCACTGCTCATAACTTTCTTAGCTTTAATGCGTATATTCTTACTTGGATTTATAAATGTATTTATAGTGTATTTCCCGATAAAATGTTAGTTTGCCAAGATCGTGAGTGTGAAACATAACAATTGTTGCCTGCGTGCACCATACTACTTACATAATCTTTTAACATTTTAAAGTATTTCTTGTACATCATTTTTAAAATTGTAACTCCATATCATTATCATATTGTTCAGATATTATGCTCTTATGGCGAGCAAAAATTATGACTGCTAAATATTTGGACGAAAAATATTTTAGATCGATACAATGACTACAGCAAGCATCAATGATTTGCAATGTAAATTCCATGATTGTGCAATGTAATACAACACTTGCGTGACGCCTTTGTCTTGTGACTCAGTTCATAACTTTCGAAAGTTCGTTTCTTGCCACGTATGTACGAATTTTTGGTTTAACTTTGGTGTTCATCTTCATATGCTTTAGTAGCTTTAAAAAGATGTTATAATCTTTGGGTATATTTAGCTTCTCTTTAACCCTTAAATGCCCAAGGAGGGAGAAACTCAATGCAAAAATCTGTTCTTTGGTATTTTTCCTTAAAATAACAAGCAATACCAAGTTCAATTAAAAAATTTAAAAAAAAAACATTTTTTCTTCTTAAAAAAATTTGTGACAGATTTGTCACATTGGGCATTAAGTGCTACTTTGTATAATAAAGAGAACTAGAGTTTAAAACTAAAATAATTATATAGTATTCATTAACAAAAGCATGAAAATTGTGAATATAACAAGAGTTTTAATCAATCAATACTTTAATCTGTCAGTATGTAGATATCTTTATGATTTTATTTATTTGTGTGGTATTCCATAAAGCAATTTCTGTCTTTATTGAAGCAGAGATAAACATTGCATTTGCACAGACAACATGAGAGCGAAAGGCAGAGCAAATTTTACATCTCTGACGATGTCTGTCATCCCAGGAAGGCATATGATCTATTTTATCAAACCGTATCTCTTCGTTTGGTTGAGTGGTTGGTCTTTTTTGAGATGTCGAGGCATTGGAAGATCGTCCTCTTTTTCTTTCTTTTCCTACCTTAATCAATCCCTCTGCACTTGTTGCTTGGAAGTCACGAAGTTTGATTTGTTTCTATCCTCTCTGATTTTTTCTGAAAAGAAGCCATGAATTGACCATAGCCACTGTAAGGGTATGAAACCAAACGTAAAGATACCATCGCCTTGATCTTATGGAATACTTGTACAATGAGCAAAGCATGTCCATTAAGTCAATGCCCCCATGAACTTATTGTACTCATCTACAAGCTTTGGCTTGGGAATTTCCACATATTGCTTCTCTTTCTTTTCCCATCTCTTTGCAACACCTAATGGTTCTGCTCCACAGTAAGTAGATACCAATGCCACTGCCTTTATGTCCAGCCATCTGACAATGGTAATTCCTTTTGATGAGTCATTTACCTCATCATAACAGATGTTCCAGTTTTCTCAACACTGTAAATGTTAGTTTGCTGACACATGTTTTCAAGCATCTCTTTGTTTACAAACTGTTAAAAAATTGTCAAAGGTGATGGTGGAGGTTCAGGTACAATATACTGATCATCTCTTGATATCATCCATTACCTTCAACACATCTTCAACACCAAAGATATCCCCTTTCTTATTCATACTCTAGAAATTGAAAAATTAAAAAGTAGTTATGTAGGGAAATAAATACACCGGCAATTGTGTTGAGTAAACATAACCCAAAATCATTCATAATAAAATTATACTAATAGTGCTTCAAAATTCTAGCTTAAGACCTAAATATATGTTCAATTTTTATTAAATTCTATTAAATAACAATTTTCTTAATAATTTAGTTAACTAAAAATTCAAAAATAATAAAGAATTCCATCAGTGTAACAATTGTAATTCCATGTGTCATTAATTAAAATGGCATACACAAATGCCCATTGTGACAAATTTGACACACAACTATTTCCATGTATTTTTTTCGAAAGAAAATATATAATCAAAAAAACTCTAAGCTAATTTCATAAGCTTGTGAGTCAATTAAAACGATTCAATATATAATATCACAGTAACTTACCTTTTATACAGTGTATTTCTCACATTTTCTTCGCAGGATTTTCACTTCACATATTTTAAAAATGACTGCCATGTTGAACATATATTTTTCAAGCCCAGTCTTCACAATAAGCATTATCAGCTCATTAATAATATTAACTAAGGGTCAAATGTGTCACTAAGCGCATTTTTAAGGCAAAATATAATACAGTATGGAAGCACTAGCTCTATAAATATACGTGTGACAAATTTGTCACACGGGGTTAAGCGTAACTTCGTGATGAAAGCAATAATAAAATCAGCTTTGAGCATAGTTGTGGATGTCGGGGAAAGCCAAAATGGAATGCATTTTTTGAATGCATTTATCAATAAATTAAAGATAATATACGATGGATTGGTAAATGATCTTCGTGACAGTTTCATTCACTTTGAAGAAGGAGTTAAAGAGCTTAAATGCATGCAAGAGTCGACTGAAAGTGATACATCGACACAAGTACCAACAATAAAGTTATCTCAAAAATGTCAAACGCGTTTCAAATTAGCTGGAGAGAAAGCGAAAAAGACGTTTGAAAATGATTCGTCTAGGACTGAAGAGAAAATAAAAGCAAGCAAGATACGCATTGCAAGCGCTATTCTAGAACGCTTAGATAACTGCGGGTTAGCAACAACGAATTACATGTTATGTCTGAAAGATTTAAACTCCTCGATTGTCGCGGGAATAAAAAGCAAATCTCACAACTGTATGGAGACTAAAGTCCTTGACAAAGTAATAGATATTAACTTGGCGTTGGCGAATTTCATCTTTAAGCACACAAACAAAAGGATGCCTGTTTTGGAATGGCCCCAGATTCAATATAACGAGCAGCCGATTCATCCTTTTTATTACAAGAAGATTGAAGAAAACACTACTGCCTCATTACCTTGGTACTCAACTCGCTTTCCTGAGAATACTGACCTCGTAAGCATGATCGTAAATAAAGAAGGAGAATTACTAATTTTTAATAGAAATGAACTTCAAATACTTAACAGAGAAACCGAAGTGTTTGAAACGTGGTGTCAGTTTCAAAGGTCGGATGCTGAAAATAGGCAAGTAAAATGCATGAACGTTGATGAAAATGGCGTAGTATATCTACTTTTGGGTTGCAAAGACAAATCGAATGGCGATTATACATTGTTGCTTTGTTTGGAAGACAAAATTGTTCAAAAATGTTCCTTGTACTTTCGTGAAGAAATACAATCTAGTAACATTTTTCTTGCTGTAGCACCAAATGGCAATATTATCATTGCTACTATCAAGAAGGATCAAAGCAACGTCGAGATATATGTGCATAACAGTAAAGGCAACATTAATACGTCGTTTGTAGCAAAGGGTGAACACAATCCAATTGATGATGAAATGAAATATTTGTCCATTTCCTCTGACGACAACATAGTCATTTTGACTTATAAATCACCCAAAATTTACCGAATTATCATTAGTACAATGAATGGAAAATTTGTTAAAAAAAGGAAATTTCAACCACACAATGACGAAATCAATTCATACAATCAAGTCATTTATACTCCCGTCACCAACAGTGTCACAGGTTTTTTTTTTGACAAATCAAAGCTGGTGATTGAGACTTATTTTGTTAAAACCAAAAAATTTATGTTGCCTATAATCTTGACAAATATTGGATATGACTTGGAAATTTTTGATGATTCATTACGCATCGTTCAGCATGCTGGCGAAAACGTGGCATTAGCGTCTAGGGAGAAAGGTGTTGTTCGTTTTATTAAGGGAAACCGTGGAGGCGGAAGCGTAGACGTGACGTTGAAGTGGATGAACATGGAATTGAACACAGATTTAGACTCAGTTCCAGGTATTAAAAAAGATTTGAGTGATCAGTTGATTTCAATATCATGTTTAATAGCCTATTCTAATATTGCATCAACCATATGCAGTTCATAAAAGTATTAGAGCTTGAACTCATTTTTTGACATTAAATTTTAAACACGATATCCATGACCTCTGAAAAACTTTTTTGAGTGAAAAACTTACTACTCATTTTATGTTGTGACTATATGGCTTCCTATTGGGCTTTAGCAAAAACCAAAATAATTTTTGTTACCTGCAAAAGATCACTTGTTTAATCTTACTCACCGCCTTACAGCATGCAAGCATACAGAAAGAAATTCTTGACATTAGAATAAATTATTTATGTTTAATCAACGAAAAATCTTTTAAGTGTACTTGAATACCATTTCCAATGACGTTACAGTATTGCACTCATGGCATTTTAAATATCGGGATATTTTTGATACAAAGAATTAAATTATATTGACATGAAGTAAAACTGATGTTTATGCTATACCCTCTACCAACTCATTTTTAAGCTGCATAGTTGCATGATGCTATTCTGTTTCTTTTGTTCTAGTGGTAAAATTTCTGTTATTTTATTTTTAATTTAGAAAACTCGTCTTCAAGTGCTAACTTCACTGCTTTTATCAATTCAGGGTCACCCGGTAAGTCATCATAAAACAGCGCAAACAATTGAATCTTGGAGAATTTGCTTACTGACTTTTATGTTTTCTGAATAGAGCGGCGTTGGAAGTGAGGTGGCAGGGGGGCACATACCCTTTTATCAGTAGGGGTATGTGCCCCACACATTTGCTTCAAGATAGGAAAATTACCACCAAGAAAATGTTTACTAATAGTAAATTTTGACTATAAAACACACAAATCAACAGTGCAGTGAGTGGACTTTAAAGAATCACGTAGAAAACTCTTGCAATTTTTTTCCATTAGTTTAATACGTTCGCAATCAAACAACCGGTGTTGCTAAAATTCTAAAAGGTGACTATTAGACAACATGTTGCAGACATCGGTACTCATAATTTTTAAGATGCGTTCCTTTCCTTTTTATGTTCCTTCCGACGCGCCTGTCTGACACACTTAATAAGGTGCAAGTTAAAAAGTTCCTTTGAATGTTAAAACAATGATGAATAACGTGAAATCTGTTTAATGTAATGAACTTTAAATGCAATAAAATGAAAATGATCAAGATAATTTGTTTTTCTTCATAGTTCAATTTACCAACCCAAACAATCTATGTATCGACATCAAAGCTTATATTACATAAACGCTTTGGCAAAATTTTGAGCCTTTTTAAAACTGTTTACATTTTTGATGGACTCTACAGAAGACAGCGATGCTACAGGCGAGAATAATCGCCATCAAGATGATACAAAACAAGATATACCAGTCCACTTTTGTTTCGTTCAAACAAAGAACCCAACACCACTAAATTGTAGAGAATCGTAATAGGTTATGATTAAATGATGTAATTTAGTTTTACGTACAAGATGTGAGCTCAGAGCATTACAAATACGCGAAAACCGAAACCCTAACCTTAACCATGGTAAAGTAGGCTACGAGGCTATGGCCGTGTATTTGTAGAACAAGCGTGTTACTGAGTTTCACGTGTAAAGTACTCAGGGATATGTTTGTAAATGTAGATCGTCCAGGTTGGTATAGTCCTGAGAAGGACTGTTTTTGTTGTTGTTGACTGACGTTTCCACAACCTTAGCGGTAATCATCTTTAGAGTCATTTGACTACCGCTAAGGTTGTCGAAACGTCAGTCAAAAACAACAAAAACAGTCTTCTCTGGACTATACCAACCTGGACGAGCTACATTTACAAACATGTAACGATACTTCTGGGCTCAAACCTTTTGCTTTACTACTCAGGGATAGTTACAAAAATAAGACACCTAATAAGTAAGTATTCGTTAAAGCTATTTTACAACACATAAGACTCTTATATCTCAACACCTATAAAAACGGAACTCAAAAAATATGACGAATTTAAAACATGCGTTTTCAAAATTTACCGGAAAAATTTTGAAACAAACAATGAAATTCATAACTATAATACAAGAAATGGAACAAAGTCAAATAAAACTTGTAAAAAACCAATTATACTATAATGAATAGAATACATCAATAGAGGCAACGCACAAATGAATTAACTCTTAAAATGTTTATATGCCAACGATTATCAAAACAGCATTTGATAAACATGGGCTGCTCTTTATCTAAATAAATTACTTGGATGGAACAGTAGAAACGTATACGTAAAAATGATTATAACCAATTACTCATTATATGTATACTAGTTATAGTACATACTAGCGTGAAAATTTCTTGTATCTGAATCTTAACAATGAAATATCCTTCATTATAATTAAATAGTATGTATCGCAAATAATAGCTACAATAATTATTCTTCACTGTAAATATGCAGACAATGGTGTTTTACAAACCTAACACGTCTGTCAAAGTTTTTATTAGGTCTCTATAGCCCAACACCTTCATATATTGTTCGTGTTGTTATAGTTTTAAAATTTAATACAATAAACAAGATTTTTTCAGCGTTTTATGTCACTATGACTCATTAAAATAGATTTTTTGAAAGCTTAAAAAACTTCTTTTGCTTGCTAAGCAAGTGTGGACAATCTCCTTCCTGTAATAATATAAGTCTGCATAAGCCTGTACAAACACGAGTTTTGCATAAGCCTGTACAAACACGAAGAATATCTTATATTTTAGTCGAGCGACCAAAAATCAAAATTTCTCACTTACTTGTGTTTTTAAGCTTTAGCTTATCAATTTGGATTAGCTGCTGTTTCAAATTGTAAAAATGTAAATATATTAACTGTAAAATTTCAGTGAAATTTCAGTGTCTTTTACTATTGTTGCGAACGTCAAATGAATATTCGAATCAGACACTTCTAAAGATAAAAGTTTAAAAAGCAAAAAATACTTGTTTCTGATGTATAAAAAAGAAAATGGGTGTAATAGAAAGTAGAAAAACAAAATTTAAGCAAAATTATTGTTTATTGAGAAGCCTTATAGTTTTTTATCAATCCTGCTGAAGTCAATTCTCAAGGATGGGTGATTCATATGTTTACTTCATTGAAGTGTGTGGCAGTCGTCTGCATGATTCCCTTTTTGTTTATATTTTTAAGAAAGCAGTGTATAAAGCAGTGTATATTTATAGTTCTTCGTTGTTTTGTTCGTTAGAAATTTAATGAAAAATATGCTATAATTGTGACTAAAGTAATTAAATGACATATACGTTTAATAAAATGACAAGTTTTACAATCTGTTTCATGCTATTTGAAAATTTTTTCGTTCGGATTGATGCTTGATTTATTATAGCTATATTTGATTATTTTTTTCTTTACTTTAATATTTCGTTCTTATTTTTTGAAGAGCCTCCGAATTGCAATTCCAATGACCTAAATCCTGACGACGAAAGTTCCGATGAATATTTTAGTGCTGACAGTAATGACTCTGCCACTTCTGATAATTTACATGATAGACACTCTCCTCAAAATTCTGAAGATGATCTTGAATTTAGAGATATGTTTCTTGATGAGTATTCTAACATTCGAAAAGATGTGCATCAGAAACTAAAAAGGTGAGCTTGTTTCTGCTGTTATATCAAAATCTTAAAATTTTAAATGTTATGTAATTTTATGTAAAAGGAAGCTTTTTTCCAGTTCTTAAGTAGCAACAACTTAAAAAGGGGAAACTTTTAAAATAGGTTTAAATAGGCAAACCCTTTCTTGCTCATTTTATTCAATTGAAACTTTTTACATTTACTTTTACAGTTTATATTGGATGCGCGGGAGATATGGAATAGTCGGTTCTAACGAGATAATACCATATCTTCACTTTTTTGTGACAGTTGATTATGAAAGAGTAGACCGAAAAGATATTCTACAAAATGACATAATCGATAAATTTGGATCAGATGCTTCGCAATATTTTGAATTTCGGCCGAAAGGATCAAAAAAAGCGAAGCTCCGATCCTTCTCAAATATATCCATAAGTAGAAACGATCAGTCAATTATTTCAAGAGGCACATTAACAATGTTTTGCTACCTAAACGGGAAACATTACGCGTTGACATGTTGCCATCTTTGTTATAATGGAGTTGACAATCACAAACATTATAAAATGCTCAACTTGGCAACTAATGACCCAAATGCATTTGAATTGCATTTGAAATCAAATGAATACGTTTACAGTAGCTCTCCAAATTCTGAAATACAACTAGGCTCTTGCAGGGACTACGTTTTGCAAAATGATGTGGACATCATGTCAATAGAAGTTAATGAAAGTGTTTCAGTGGAGTGCAGACGAAAAAAATTACACAAACCTTCTAATTGGTTGGATGTGTGGCGAGAGCTTCTTAAACGAGTATACGGAGTCTCTTCTAGTTCAGTTAAGGTGAAGAAATATGACGGAAAACGTATGATAGGCTATATTGTTGATACTTCTTTTTCGTATTATTCTCCTGAAGAAGAGGTTACTATTGAGGATGCTATTCTGGTAAAATGCAGAAAAAGCTTTCTTAAAGCTGGTGATTGCGGTGTGCTTGTATATTTTCATGATGAAGCTGGCAGAAGAATTCCTTTTGGTTATGGTGTTTCTCAGTTTTTTCACCTGGGAATATGTGATCCAGAGTATAAGTATTATATTTGCTTCAAGCTAGATAAAGCTTTAAGAAAGTTATTTGGCGAAGAAAACTACAAGAACTGTGGCTGTTTTGAACAATGTGCAAATCCCATTGAGGAAATCAGTGGTGAGAAAAAAACTTTGCTCTTGACATGAAATATTGTGATGACTTAGGCGTTTACTTTCCAAAACTTTAATTCATTTACAAGGTTTTCTGTTAGCTTTATTGAGAAAGCCTAATGTTTTTTATTATTTCCATAACATGGCTCATTGTGCTAATTTGAACTCAAACTGTTCCTAATTTCATTACTGAACTTCTTATTTCCTAAATAAACTTGAAAATCATAACTATGTACAATTTTGTTGCTGAACAATATTGAAATATCGTCCTCGTAAATTAAGTAATTGTAATGTTGTAAAATTTAGTAAAAGTAGACGTAAAATGATCTATCCTATAACAAATCAGATTCTGATATAACATTAGCTATTTCATTTCGTCCAATTGGTGATAATTCTAATGTGTTATATGTTTCAGCAATCACATCTTCGAATGCAAGCACAACATTTGCTACATAAATCAACACAACGCTATTCGGTAAGTCATTGTACAACTGAGCAAATAAATGACTTTAGCTACTATAATGTCAACACAATATGCTCTAAAAAGAAAAGAAAGAATTTTATGAGCATTTTATTGATTTATTGTGGTAAAGCTTTGCACATGGCTATGCATCGTTAAAACGAACTACCTAAAATTCATGCTAATGTTAATTTTAGGAGTGGTTTTAGTTGTATTTCTATTTCATTTCTTTAAGCCTATTATGTGAAATTTTTCGTAATTACAATTAGATTATGAGCTCGAGATTTCATCAAGATAATAGTTGAATGAGGGCCAAGCCTGCGTAACGCTTTTTGAAAAAAGAATCAAGTTATTCGTCAGAAACCGAAGTAAAATTGAAGACGGCAGGGTCGCTGCTTGCTATCTATACCTCTTTCTACTCGTTATCTATTGAAAATTAACAAGAAAGCGCGTAGAGTAGCCAATCAAATTATAATATTTGCAATGATACTAATATGTTTCTACTGACGTTCTATATGTTTTAGCAACCACGTTAATGTTAGCCAGCTGGTTAACTAGTGCACATGTCATATCAAAACTACCTGGTAAGTTATCACAAGTAAGCGCTTCATAAAGCAAAGCCTTGAAATTTGAAAAAGTAATAACTCAATCTACATGTCTGTAATCCGACCTTAGGTGGCTTACAGACATGTAAGCCACGACCTTGTGGTGGCTTACATGTCTGTAAGCCACCACAACTAGAACATTTACAAGGCGTGCACAAATCATATGTGATTCACCGGACGCTCTACACAACGAAAACAACTATCTCAAACGTGTTTTTGACAAAAACAACTATAACTCTGACTTTATCAAACGCAACACTTACAAACCCAACAAACCTAAAAAAACGAACAACTCAGTGACAACAGCAACGATACCTTACATCAAAGGTACGTCTGACACTATGTCGCGTATCTTACAACAATATAACATACGTGTCGCACATAAACCAATCACAACGTTATGACAACTACTAACGAACATAAAAGACAAAGAGGAACCCAACGAACGACAAGGTGCAGTTTACAAAATGAACTGCTCCGACTGCCACGCCTCCTATATCGGGGAAACTGGCAGGAACTTAAACATAAGACTTACTGAACACAAACGAGCTACTAAGAAACAAGACAAAACTAATCACATTGCCGAACATCACCGAATCACAAAGCATAATATTGACTGGGACTCGGCAAAATGCATTACTTACAGTACTGACTATAGACAACGGCTTACATTAGTAAGTTGGTATACCAACTTGGAACAAACCCCCCTGAATAGATCACAGCAATTACCGGCACCTTACAAACGACCTAACAAACGATAAATTAAAAACATTACACTTTACACTAATTCATCAAAGGTACGTTCCCACACATTACAATTCACACATCGACACCCACAAATCACACATCACGACTAAAAATAAAAATATTTCACTTCACACTAATTTACAATGACATTTCCTGTACACACAATACAATGACGTAAGAACCAGATAACAAATACGGCTAACCTGACGTTTACTCGTCATTTGACTCTGAAGATGACTACCGCTAAAGTTGTCGAAACGTCAGTCAACAACAACAAAAACAGTCCTCCTCAGGACTATACCAACCTGGACGATCTACATTTACAAACACGTTACAAATCCATATAAAATAAACCTTGGGAGAATACCACAGATTGATTTAATTGCGTGCAACTTGCTAATATTCTTAAATTTTGCAACAATCAACCAGGGGCGGATCTATGATTTTTCAAACATCAGTCATGAACGCCGGAAGCGTTCCGCACCTAAGGGAGGGGTCGATGTACTCTCTCCTAAGAAATTCTGAATTTCAAAGCCTTGGAAATAACAATTTCAGCGTTTTAGAGCAATACAAAATGTTTTTTTGGCCATCGTTTTGGCGTAAAAACAGCACATTTTGCTTACGCTTTTTTTTAAAAAAACTGAAATGAACATTATATGAATGTTTTGCTAAAGATTTAGGCTCATTATCAATAATGCTATTCCAAAAAAAGATATAGTCTTTAAAAATTTCTACCAAATTGTCAGGCATAGACACTACTGGATACCCCCATTCATAACTATATGTAATGAGTGGAGTTATAAATGAAGTACTGAAAGGGACAGTTCACAAATGTGAAAAAGCTCAGACCTCAAACCATGTAAGTTTATTGTAACCTTTCAACCTCTCCCCATACAGTGCCAGGAAATTCATCTATTTCGAAAAAACTCAAAATTTTTTTTTATTCAAAGATTAAACAAAGATTACCATACGCCACCGTATTACCGTACCATACGCCACATTGACATAAATCGCATCACATTCCTCCTTGTTATAGAAAGTGAAAAGCCTGGAATGATGTCTGAAGCGCATCGTGAATTTTTAAGAAAATACAGGGACTATATCAAAAGAAATCTTGAGGTTGATGTTGTCTGGCCACAAATGACGGACGTTCTGGATCGTAACTGCGAAGACAAAATTCGAGCAGAATCCACCCCTGAAGCTCGTACTTTGGAACTTCTTCATTTGCTGCCTCGGCGAGGAGATAAAGCATTCATATCCTTTATTAGAGCGACACTTAAAGTTCAAATACGGGTTGGGGAACACTTGGCTGACTTAGCCGGACTTAATGTGAACCATATACTTCCTAGTGCTACTCAAAGTACGACATTTTTTATTTCTTATACTGTTATACATTACGTACTGTGAGCTTGCTTGCCTTTCTGTTATTTATTAATTCTGAAGATGTAAAATTCTCTAGATGATAAGAATGCAAATATCGACCTTTAACTTGTAGAAGTTTTAATGAAAAACCATCTTCTTATATATAAACAGAAACATCAGAAAGTTTTAAACCTTTTATTTTACCATTGTCTTACTTAGGAGAAACTGAAGAGCCTGGAATGAAAGAGGTCCATCGTCAAATTCTTGTGAACCATTTGTCCACATTTAAGCAATCACTTAATGTCGCTGAAATTGTTGAAAGTTTATCCAACAATGTGGCGATCACAAGCAGAAATCCGGGTGTCAACATCAGAACTGTGTTACAAGAGCCATCTATGGACAAAAAAGTGGAAAAGCTTATATGTGATATGCTTCCACGCTTAGGGCCTGATGCATTCCAATATTTTTTCAAAACCTTAGATAAAAATCAGCCGCAACTTGCCCATGATTTGAGGCAGTCAATAAAAGGTATGTAAAAAATGTAATAATTATTCCTCCTTGTTATTACATATACATGTTTGTCCTTCTACATATCCTGTAAGTCAAATTCACCTCACTGATTTGTCAGCTACTCATCCTGGCGAATTAATTGATGAGAGACAATGCTATCAGGAGTCAACAAATATTCATGTGACTGGGCAGACAACAGCCCAGTTTAATCTTGAAACGACCTGGTCAGATCTACCTGACCACGTTCAAAGAAAGTTAGAAGAACGATTAAACAAAGGCAATGAGTTATTAGAGAATGACTGGAGAAGGTGATTTCAAAAGAATTAAAGTCTTTTTTTAACTCTGTTGATGTTTTTTCTTTATTAGGTATCTAAATGTTTTTATTTAAGTTTTATTCCTTAACTGAGCACAAATTGATTTTTTGTCAAGCCTGTACAAAGCAGTGAATTTGCCACAAGGTAAAGAAAACATCATTGCTGAAAGATTCTCTGACAACCCCACACAATATGTTTTGAACACTTGGTTTGATAGAGATGGACAACGTGCCAATGTAAAAGCACTGCTCCTAGCATTGAAAAAGTGTAACCGGGAAGGCTTAGTTCATGAGATAGAAAGGGTGTTGGATGTAAAGCTACCTGATCAAGTTTCGCAAGACACCGTTGATGGAGTCCGTGACATGCAATTAAATGAAAACGAGAAAAGAACCGGTAAGTGAAGTTGGAATGAGTGGTTGTCCAATTTTTCAAAGCAAAGCATGGTGGTTGAGCAGTTGCTTCAAACAGCCAGCCCACACATTTTGTTTATGCTATGTAAATTTCAGATCATTATTGTTCTTTTCCCATCTGTTTTATTTACAGTAAGTAAACACATTAAAATTTACATAGCAGGACTAAATTTGTGGGATAGCAACGCCACTCCTCACCTGCAAGGATTAGTTTTCGAATAATGACTCCAAGTTCTTGAGGCTTGGTCTGACATGTTTTACTTTCATGTCCAAAAGTAAGGTTGGAGGTAAACTTTAAAGTTTGTTTCATAAGATTGCTTATATGTAAGGTGTAAATGCAGTAACGTAGCCAGCTTGACTTTTTACTCCAGCTTGTATTCAAATATTTTTGTGTTTACTAGCTGTGAGAACAATAGATTTAGAAAAAGATGAATAATGGTAATCCATGAGGATTTACATAACCAAAGGAAATCTACAGGCTGGCTACGCTAAGGTGTAAATGTTAAATAAATATTTCAATTTGGTTTACATTAAGATATCCTAATTTAGTCTCCATCTTAATTAAGCTCTGAGGTTCGTGAAGGAAATACCGGGAGAATTAAAAGTTCAGTTGATGAAACAATTAAAACAAGTTAGTGTAGATTGTCTCTCAGAAATTGCGACAAAAATCTTGGAGGTGCGATGTTACGTGGTCGACAGTACTGATTTCATGGATAAATTGAAAGAGAAGAAAATAAGATTTCTCTTTCGGGAACTTCGAAGAGAAGGTCAGACGAGGGATATTGTTCGTTGGATGAGAAATAAATTTCCTGTTGGCAGCACAGGTTGGTAGCCTACGTGTGCTAAACTAGTATTGTAACAGTTTGAATAAATGATTGTATTCCATTGGTTTGAGTTAGGGTAAGTTAAATGAATCTGTATTCATTGGAGGTTACGTTCAGCTTTCAGCAAAAGAGTATTTGGTGTACATTACGTTGATATTGTGATAAATGATTCTTGTTTTTGAACTTCCTGCAGGTCCTGTGAAATGCGATGATAACGTGAAAACCGAGAACATGAACTATGGCGTTAGAAAAGAAGTGACTGACTATTTATCTTGTGAGTCCCATCATACTTCGAATTTCAATGATAATAAAATATATTGTTACATGTTTGTATGTTTGTAAATGTAGATCGTCCGGGCTGGTATAGTCCTGAGAAGGACTGTTTTTGTTATTGTTGACTGACGTTTCGACAACCTTAGCGGTAGTCATCTTTAGAGTCAAACCTTAGCGGTAGTCATCTTCATCATCATCATTTTCGTCTTTTGACTCTGAAGATGACTGCCGCTAAGGCTGTCGAAACGTCAGTCAACAACAACAAAAACAGTCCTTCCCAGGACTATACCAACCTGGATGATCTACATTTACAAACATGTAACGATACTCCCGGGTTCAAACCATTTACTTTAAAATATCTTTTTTCACTGTAATTAACTGTACGCGATACACCTTTTTTTTTCAAACACAGTGGAAGATTGGGAAATTCTCGCCAGTCACAGCGACATAGATTTGAAAAAATTGGACATCGGTATGATCAAGAGAAGGTCGGCGGATAATCCTGCTGAAGCTGTCATTTCTCGATGGGAAGCGAGGAACAATTCTTCTGTTGGCATGATGTACGATCTACTGGTTGACTGTGAATTCTACAAAATTGCCGATCTCTTATGATGGTATAATAAACATGTTTAAATACGTAGGTCTTCAATACAGTAGTAAAGCTTTTGAATATGCACCGAGTGAATTTTCGAATGGCCCTGATTACTAAAAGTCTGTGAGCTCCATGTTTGAAACACTTTTTTGTCTAAGAAACAGCGGTAAAGTAAACTGTTTCACTGTCTCTGTAATCAGAAAAAAAAATTTAAAACCGCTACTGTTGAATGTGAGCAGGATAAACACTATACCATACTTATTTCATAGCGAGATTAAAACACGTCAGTTTATGCATACATCAGTGCTGTAGAACTAAATTTATCAGATGGGGGGCTCTCTTGACCTTTTTGTCAATAGTGCCCTTTTAAAATTACCCATTTCAAAGGTAGACTGGGGGCTCCTCCCCCAATCACTCCCCCTCCACTTCTACAGCACTGGCATACACTGTGTAAGGGAAGTTAATGTCAGCTGTGCCTTACGTCGTTTTTTCTCGTGAAACGTTTGTCTTATCGTGAATTACGAACAATTTGTAATAATTTGTTTACTTATTTCTATTCCCGCGCATTTTAAATGTAAGCAATTAAGTATGAAACAGGTATGAAAATATGTGTGTTAATTGCTGTATGAAATAAAGTCTATCAAATTTAGTAGACTGAGGAACGACTCGCTAAACTGTATTTTTTCATCTCTTACTTATTGAAATTTGAGAGTTAGAAAATGACGTCATTTAAGATTTCAAGGTCAGACGTTCGGAAACAACGGAATGTTATCGTAGGTTATCGTACGTATCTTGGCACTACAATACATTTTCAAAATGTAAAGACAATATACGATCGAAACACTTATCTTTGTTGCAAGGTACACAAATTTTAAGCTTTTCACCTGAAAACTGGAGAATGCTGTGTAGCCCACTGAACTTAATCATGCAGAAGCGATGCAGCGGAAACCCAAAAAATAATTCAATACTTCATTACAACTGTTCTTCAACCTTACCAAATCCGTAGAGACAGAGTGAATGTATCCGACTTGTTCTATCTTGTGTTATAAAATGCTGTCCTCTTATGCTTTTATGATAATTGGTGGGTTGGTTTAGAATATTCATAGTGTGTGAATGGAATTTGAGTTCGATGCCAACAAAATTTTGCCAAATCCAATCACGTTTGTCGACAGCAAAATGTGCACGTTTGGAAAACATGCGAGAGAGTAAGTTTCTATTTCATACTTCACTTGCGTAACGTGGAAATTTCAGAATTTGCTTCTGTTTTCACAGTTACTGATTATTTGCATAGCTTGACCACATAGACGTTAAAAGTGCTGGCTACAGGCTACACCATTAAGTTTTTTGTTTGTCGTTAAATCCTATTTCATATTGATATGACAGCAAGGCAACGGCATACTGTGCATAGCTACAAAACACTACAAACATGGCAAAAACCAGGTTGTGTCAGGTTCCATTGTTTCCCTGTACTGTGGAAAAAATAACGAGTCCTTTTACAAAGTTTGTTGCTCAAGAGGTCCAAAGTTAGCCAAGTTTCATGGGAGATGTTGTATTGGCAGCAAAGGGGAGTTCCCTCAACTAAATTAAATTATCTCACCATGGTACTTAATGTGATTTGCTCTAGTGCAAAGTTGCTCAATCAACATTTACATAAAATCATTGATGCTCTTGGTGCCGCATCGAGCAAGGTATGTATATCAAAGTAAGTTACTAATTAAATGACTTAGCACATATATGCAATTTTACCCATATTTCCAAATATTTATGTAGGCACAAGGATTGCATACCATCATCACAACTGCATCTAAGCTCAAGTATTCAAATCATGAATGCTTTATATTCTCAAAGATGCAGCTAGTAAACAAGTGAGTACTCTGCAATTTAAGACAAGGGCATCTGAAACAGGGGGGGGGTGATATCTTAGAGGGACAATATCCCTCCCCAAAAATGTTTTGGAAAATGACATGTCTTGCATTTTACAATAATATGAAACATGTTACTCATGCCAAATTGGTATTCCCCACTTTTATTGTCCATCCAACACCTCTGATTCAATATTAACCGTCTGCTCTGTCTTTTAATTAACTGTCTTTTAGTTGAAGACACAATGTGATTGCCATAAATATATAAGTTCTTACATGAGTATTTGCTTTAGCAATGAGAGCTTTACGTTGGCTTATTTTTGAAGAGGCCGAGGTACAGTTATTGGCATTATTAAAGTTGGCCGATAAAATCTTTTCTTGTTGGTATGTATGCTTTTCCTACAGTGTTCTAACAAGTGTATAGTTGTTCCTTTCCATGAACCTGGTAGACAAACTTTCCTCTGCAAAGTAAATGGTGTGAACCCAGGAATATAATTACATGTTTGTACGTGTATCAAGGCTAATTACATGTTTGTAGGTGTAGACTATCAAGGCTATTTGAGTCCTGGGAAGGTAGGTGTACTGTTGTTGATGTTGACTGAAAATTCCACATCCTTAATAGGTAATCATCAGCAGAGTCAAGTGAGGAATAGCATTTTGGTCAACGAGACGACTAATACCTCAAACCTGACATTTACTGGTCACGTGACTCTAAAGATGATTACCACTAAGGTTGTTGAAACATCACTCAACATAAACAATTCTTCTCAAGACTACACCAATTTGCACATACTACATCTAAAAACACGTTTCCTCCACAAAGTTATGTATTTAACTCATCCCAGTGATAGTTAAAAGCTATTTTTCTCCACGTATACACCATATACCCGATTCTTTCCTGGCAAAATTTTGTGTGGGAAGAAGTGATTATGATTAAAGGGGTTTTTTATCATTCATCTTCAGATTAAAAAGTACGATGAATTTACATTGATTTTCTATATATTCACCATACTATACGAAGAATTACATGTTAACTTTATTGTATATATATTTACAAGATCTAGCAATAAAAGATTGTTTATGACGTTTGGTCCGGGATAAAATACTATAAGTTTTACTTTTACGCAACTCGTGCGAGTTTTCTTTGGGATAAGGTACTAAAAATTTGCATGGATGATCAGGTTCCTCTATAATCCTTTTGATCTCTTGGGTAGTTGCTAGTTCACGTCTGCTTTTCAAAGATGGTAAGTAGTTTTATCTAATTGTAAAATTTTTAAACTTCTTCTTTGTTCACGTTCAATTTCTTGCTGTAAAAAATGTGGAAGTCCTGCCCAGACTGCCGATGCATACTCTAATACTGGTCTTATTTTTGATGTATATGTTAATAATCCAACATCTCAAGGTAATTGAGACCTACTACATAGTCGAAGATGATATAGTCTTTTATTTTCCTTGCATGTAATTTGGTGTACATGTTCATTCCATTTAAGATCATTTTGACATGTTACGCCAAGAAGTTTGAAATTAGTAACTCTTTCTATTTCTTCTTCTCCAATAAATAGGGACGTTGGTTCTTGTATTGAGTCCGTAAAGCATATCCACATATCCTTTGTTTTTTTCGGATTCAGAGCCATTCTGTTATTATCATCCCATTTCCGTAATTCGTCGATTACTTTTTGCATGGAACTGCATTCACCTCTCGCGACAATCTGGTCCTGAGTGCAATCATCTGCATATTTACATGTATTAGCATCTATTTCTTTAGGAATAATGTTCTCTAAATCATTTATATATACATTAAAGAGCACTGGTGATATGACAGCGCTTTGTGGCACGCCCAAAGGGCAAGGTTGGATGGATGACATGGCTCCTTGTAGGTTGACTTGTTGCGTTCTTCCTGTCAAAAAACTTCGAATCCATTGCCAGAAAGACTTATTAATTTCCATAGATGCTAATTTTTGTAGTAATATGTTGTGATTCACCATATCAAATGCCTTTCGAAAATCTAGAAATAATACGTGAACTCCCTTTCTACCTAATTGAGAATTATCTGTTGCATTATACCAATTTTGTGTCATAGATATTAGAGCAGATTCAGTAGATCGGCCATGAGTAAAGGCATGTTGGTTACTCTTTATTTTGAAATCTGATTTATTCAAATGGAGTTGAAGTTTGTCTATTACTTTAGCCTTTTGAGGAAGGACAGATATAGGTCTGAAGTCATTTTCAACATTGCTTGGATTACTCACTTTAGCAACTGGAGTTTTTAGTGCATGTTTATATTGGCTGGGGTACTTGCATTGTTTTATACTTGTGGTTACTATATTGTGTACGACTGGTGCAAGATCTTCGCAAAAACGTTTAAGTATCCATGCCGGAATTTTGTCATCTCCTGTTGCTTTCCTATGATTAGCATCGACAACATGCTAAGTGCTAACCAGACCCTATCTTAACAGTCTCTTCGTTTACAATGTCATAAACATCAGTCACATTTTCTTCCTGTTCCTGACGCTGACAATGTTTCTTAAAGTACTCCCTCCGACAATTACCAAATTGTACGTCTTTTACAAGTTTCGTAGACGGCTCCCACGTGTAGCAATGCGCACCTTGTCGAGCAATAGCTTGTCTTGCAATTAATCTGTTCCTCAAAGTTGAACAATGTAGGCGGTTGGTTTGAGGAGTCTTTATCATGTTAACTTGGGAAAAAATTCTCTCGACACAGGCAGATGAGTGAGGCAAAACAAGCAGGTTGCACATAAAATTTCCCAAAAGTTCAAACTTTTTATTGCCGTTACCATCTTTAATAGCTCTGATCTCATCCCAAAACTGTGTTGGGGAAATAGTCATGCCTTTAAGAGAGTCTGTGGCATATAACAATTGCCTCCATTGATCATCAAGTTCATCCAATTGATCTTCAGACACTAAAGACGGAAAATGGTGTGCTAATACCGCTATCGAGTTTAATGACCGCCTGCTGGATAATGCCTCTGAAGGGTTGACTGCTGATAGCAAAGCTAGAACTCCATCACTTTTGAAAGAAAACCTCTTCTTTATTTGGTCACATAACTCAACGAGAAAGTTACGGCAATCGTTTCTGAAACGTTGTTCTTGGCTACCCAAAGACTGTTGGGTGCACAGGACTGTACATCTTCCTCCAAGATGAATATCGTTGAGAGGCTTGTATAGCTTTACGTCATTTGGATCAATCTCGTCCAACGGTGTTTCTCGTACGACTTTGTCGTGGATAAACATGGCCAAAATGCTTCTATACTCATCCGATATAGAACTGTACAGTGTGTGCAGCTTGAAATCTTGAGCCTGAAATTCAGCATTTAATCTGTCCACTTTTGACAATATGTAATTTAGGAATGCCATAATATGCTTGGTTCTATTCGTCGTCATGGTTTCGTAGATCTTGACTGCCCCGTCTACACGATCACATGGAGACTCAGATTGAAAGAAAAGTTTTAATGCATCCCATTGCTCTAAAATTCTGGGAACAACTTGGCCTCGGGAGAGCCACCTCGTCTGTGAAAGCTTGAGAACTTTATGACGAAGCGCTTCAACAATATCTTGTATGAGACGGAACTGGTGTTGTCGCCGACTGCTACGGGAAAAATAACAGCAGACATCTTTCACAAATGCTTCCAACCATGAAGGTAGGCGACAACTTGCATAGTGTGCGCAGAGAGCAAAGGAGTGACAAATGCAACCAAAGACAAATACACCAGGTACATCTTTTTTTAAAAGAGCCTGAAAACCTCCATTTTTGCCCATCATTGTTGAACAATTGTCGCCAGCAAAACCAACAACATTACTTAGTGGTATGGCTCGTTCTTGAAAAAAGTTTTTAACAGCCGCATACAATCCATCAGCAGTGCCGTTTTCTACTTCAAGGGCAGTCAATAAAGCATCAATCACTTTCCTTTCATGGTAAAATCTGACGACAACAGCAAGAATTTGGGAGACTGAAATATCTGTGGATTCGTCTACGATCAGAGAAAACTTGTTTTTCTGACAGATTGCTGATATTGACTCCACTTCCTCTCGTGCAATTCCTTCTTGAACAACATATGATGCCTTTGTTCTTTTTAACTGCATTTTTTGAGCAATTTTGCTGTCGGGAAACATTTTTTTATCAACTCGCTGAGATGATCAGCCTGAAGAAAAGGCGTTCGGTGCTCAGCTAGAAAACCAGATAACAAAGCTTCAGCTTTTGCTGTCATTTCGTCAACATCTGGCCCTGTTTGCTTTTGAAAAAACTTGCTCACTTGCAAAGTATTTTGCTTGGCTTTATATGCATCAGTATGTTTCTTTGTTGCTTTATGTTTCATCAAAGCCGACTTGTTGGGACCGTTGAATGTATGTTCACACACTTTGCATCTCACTGTGAATTTATTTCCAGGATCTTTTGAAATCCAATCTGCTAATTCTGGATCTTTTAACCAAACATCGTTGAACGATTGCTAGTACCATTTTTTATCTTCAGGTTTTGCTTTTTTTCTCGATGGACGATGATCATTCTTATCACTTGAGTTGCTTTCTTCGTCATACATTTTGCTTCTGAAATGTGTATGCACTGTAGTGTTTTGAGCTCCCCACCCAAATGAAGCAAAACAAGTCAAGTTTACCTCAGGCTTGAATCCTCAGAAAAAGGCCGCCATTTTGTTTTTACAAAACCATACAGGAAAAAGTTTTTTGGATGTTCAATGTTCGCGTTCAATACATTGAGTTGAACAAGAACTGTAGGGAACAAGGGGCCTGGACCCGGTTGTCAAAAACATGGCGGTGATGGCAGATTTTGGTTGTCAAACTTCCACTTTAAAAATTATTTTTAATATTCACTCCCTCCTGATTTCTACTGTTCAATAGTAAAGACAACCAAGAAATGCAACACCAATTAATATTTCCCATCGAAAGAAATGCTTCAGCGTTTTATGGAATACACGTACATTAATTTAAAGAATATCCACGGTAAAAGAACTTATATTATGTTCAAATAAACATCAGATTCAGACGGCATCTTCAGTGGGAGGGTGTGAAGGTTGTCAAGCTTATTTATAAACACGTGTCACACTTATTTATAAATTCATAATACGAGATAATATTACCTATAAAAATATTTAAACAAAATATCCCAAGATTTTACAATATTTCGAAAAAAACTCCCAAGATCCCAAGCTTGAGCAGAAAATCCCAAGATCTTGGGAGAAATCCCAAGGCGTGGCAACACTGGTCTCAAGCATTGTGTTTACAGTCGCATGCTAAAGTCGCTTTCCTCGTAGGACATGCATGGCGTTCAGCACGAAGTTTTGCCGCTCTGCGTGATGGATTTTTATGTGCATCATACGAAACAAAGAAACGGCTGTGGAAAGATGTTGTTTGAACACATGTTGAAGGTGGAATAAATGCTATAAAGGTTTTTAATATGGATTTCCGATTGACCTGTCGTGATTTTCAGTCTGCCGAAGTTTTGTAAATCACTGGAGTATTTTTAACTTTTCTTTCCTTACGAATTCTCAGATTCACAATCTTCAACCATTTCATGTCGCGATTGATCGTCCTTCGCACAAGTTTCTCTCCTTCTTGAAGAAACATTATGGTCTTCACAATGCCATATCTCAGGTAAGCTATGTGCGAAGACATTTAAGAAATGTGACTTTCTTGTAAAAACTTGCTCTATTACATTATTGTGATAAAACATAATTTCGCTTTTTGATGAGATTAGTGTGCTGATTACATGAGGCCGGGTAGCCTGGATTCAGCCAAGCTTTAAATGATTTTGGAAAATGAAATGAATCAATACAATATAAGCCATCTCATAGTACTGAAAGAACGAGAGGTGTTCCAGTAATCTTGATCGTCAATATTCCTTTTTCTCTGATCATTAAAAGTCAACATATTGCTGCTTTTACAGCCGAACAAGTTTTTGGTTTTTGATCAGCTTTTTTGCGACATGAGCGGTACGTTTCAAGGCCATTTTCTAAACTGTATTATGAATGAATTTTTAATTTTTACGGGAGTTTATCGTGTTTTTGTTTTCATATTTCAGCTGTTGGTTTTGTACCCAGGAGAAGTCAAAGCTTGAAATTTGGAAGCGAAGTGAAAGATCGTTCTCCTGTCCATCATCATAGACGTACTTCTGGTGAGTTTTCATAGAAAACGGTTTAAACTGCATTATCATTTATCAACGTCACTCAACTTTACACCACGTAGCAAAACTTTACACCACGTAGCAATAATTTAAACCACGTAGCAATACCCTACACCACGTAACAAAACTTTACACCACGTAGCAAAACTTTACACCACGTAGCCCAACTTTACACCACGCAGCAATACTTTACACCACGTAGCCCAACTTTACACGACGTCGCCCAACTTTACACCACGTGGCCCAACTTTACACCACGTAGCAATACTTTACACCAAGTACAACTTTACACCACGTAGCAATACTTTACACCACGTAGCCCAACTTTACACCACGTAGCAATACTTTACACCAAGTAGCCCAACTTTACAGGACGTCGCCCAACTTTACACCACGTGGCAATACTTTACACCACGTGGCAATACTTTACACCACGTTGTAAAACTTTACACCACGTTTTAAAACTTTACACCACGTTGTAAAACTTTACACCACGTTGTAAAACTTTAAACCAAATAACCCAAATTTACACGACGTCGCCCAACTTTACCCGATGTCGCCCAACTTTACACCACGTAGCAATGCATTACATCATATAGCCCAATTTTACATAACGTAGCACAACTTTACACGAGATAGCCCAACTTTACGTCACATAGCAAAACTTTACACGACGTAGCACAACTTTACATTACGTCGCTCAACCTTTTAGACATCCTTTGTGGTCCTTAAACTGTACTAGGGTTATAGGGTAACAAAACTTTTATCTCCGTAAGATGGAGAATATATTCCTTTTTTGTAATCTATATTTTATACATAAGTAATCCTGTATTTTAGGATGAGCCAGCAATAACTGGCCGTCAACGTCACAGCATGAACATAATCTTAGCGCTGAGGGAAGCTCTGAAAAAGCGCAGATAATGGATGTGAACGGCAATAAAGATTCAGGAATTTCTGAAACACCTCGCTCTTGGCTGCCATCAATTACTCGACCAACGTTTGGCAGAGAGCAGTCCACGGTCCTTATGGGGTCAGATGATATTAAGGGGAATAGGTTAGTTGATTAACGATCAATAAACCTTTTACTATAAAACAATTTAGCATTTACATAATTTTTTTCTGGTCGTTTGCTAAGTGTTTCCAGGAATAGGAATAGATCGTCAAAAATAAAAACAAGTATATACACGTACTGAAAAGTTGCATATATATATATATATTATATATTGGTTAATATAACGTATAATGTACTAAACAGCACTGATGTATTCTATATTAGGTACCTGGGCCGTTGGAAGATCAAGAATTAAGGGAGAGAGAGGGGGCTCATCTTCACGTGATTGTATGTTAATTCTTGAGCTATTGGAGAATTCGGAGTCAGTCACTCCGTGTTAGCACATTAAGTAGTTTTAATTTATTCTCGGCAATATTAAACATGATGTGGAGATGACAAATTTCTCACTCCACCGAGGTAAAGGGAAACTTGCATTAAAGTTTTTGTGATTCAAAATTTTGTCACAAAATTTTTTGATTGTATCGCAAAGAACATTTAAAATGACCTTACAACCTTTTCATTGTCGAGATAATTTATTTTATTCATTATGCAAATAAAATCTTCGTGACTTCATAGTCTCATAGACCATCAATTTTTCACATCGTTGGCGAATTTTATGCACAAATACAACAGTTTCATGGACATACATGTGTAGATGAATATATTTGTAAAGGCGCCAAAGTTATATATTTTATTGCTGACCGTCGACAAGAGCCTAGAATTTCTCAATGCTAATTATGCAGTGCGATGTCATAACAATGTTATTTGCATTGTGAAAAAAAGGTGAACAACTTCAAAAAGAAGTAAAATAACACAGTTCTATTGAAAAATATATTAGGTCACTTTCAATTTTCTTTACATGCAATTAGAAAATTCTATGATAAAATTTGTTGTCATAAACACTTTAAAGTGACACCTTAAACTACATCCTTTTTTTCATGATTACAAAGCACTGTTATTTGCCCACGCAAATACGACGCTTAAAATGCACACATAAAACTACATCCTTTTTTTTTCACGGTTACAAAGCACTATTCTTTGCCCACGCAAACACAACACTTGAGATACACATATTAAAGTACATCCTTTTTCTTCAGGATTACAAAGCACCATTATTTGCCCGCGCAAACACGACATTTGAAATACATTAAACTACATCCTTTTTTCATGATTACAAAGCACTATTCTTTGCCCACGTAAACACGACACTTAAAATACACATATTAAAGTATCTGCTTTTTCTTCAGGATTACAAAGCGCAATTCTTTGCCCACGTCGACGAAATCAATAATTACGGAGAGAACGCTTCTCACGAAGAAGAAAGATGGCAGGAAAAATGGCGCTTTTCGTTACAAAGGATACAGAACTTACATTGAAGTATCTATTTTTATTTCTATTAGTGGTAAAAATGCGTTAAGTATTGTTGGACAAGCCCTTAAACAAATAGCTATCATAAATTTACCTCAAAAGATTATTTTTTTGTCAAATATTTATAATGATAATGGACAATGGTCACCGTCATATTTTTTAAAACAATATTTGTCATCGGAATAATTCGAAATTTCGAGATTGCTCGCCGAAATGTTTTTTCAATGTTAAAATCCGTTGCCTTTTTTTCTTATCAAATCACAGCAAGTGGATAAAATTAATGTGTAAAAAATACTTAAACAATTGCCATATAAAAACAGGATGAAGCAGGAATTGAATTACGGAGAGGGTGCACGGGGTGCGCACCTCCCAATCCTTGAATGGACGGGGTTCAGGGAGGTTCAAATTCCCCCACACAAAGTATAAATATACCAACCGATTAAGCTAAAACAACCGTCAAATTACACATTTCCCAAGGTTTCAAGTCAAACCCACAAAAACTATGACATGTGAATGACATAACGACACCCACAAAAGAGAGCCACTGAAATCTAATCTAAACTAGACTGACCAAACAGCATCTTAAAAAAACTAAAGCACCCCCCTGCAAAATTATATTGGATCCATCCCTGGAATAAAGCACAAGAAAATTCTTGACTTAACGTCATCCTTCCTTTCATTTCACAGTAGCATGAGCTTTCCACCTCAGGTTACGAATGTCAAGTAGATATCACAGCTTCATCCCATGGACCGTGTATGTTACTACAAACGAACACAACAAAAGAAACTCGCTCAACAATGACGGCGACATTTAGTTTGTTGGGAATGGACAGCATTTCAATGCTTTCGATTATTGATGAAGCAATTCTAATCAGATAGCTGCAGCGAATGAGCGAAAACACTTTTGTTCGGTTACATGCAATGGCTTAACTAGCGCATTTGTTCAGTCTTAAATAAAGGATTATTGATAAGGCCTTCGGGTGCAACAATACAGTAAAACTAAAATTTACTGCAACATTACCGTACAATATGTAACACTACAGTACGATATGCCACACTACTGTACAATATGCAATAGTACGGTACAATATACAACACTACGCTACAATATACAACACTACGCTACAATATACAACACTACGCTACAATATACAACACTGCGCTACAATATACAACACTACGCTACAATATACAACACTACGGTACAATATACAACTCTACGGTACAATATACAACACTACGGTACAATATACAACACTCCGGTACAATATATAACACTACGGTACAATATACAATACTACGGTACAATATACAACACTACGGTACAATATACAACACTACGGTACAATATACAACACTACGGTACAATATACAATACTACGGTACAATATACAATACTACGGTACATTATACAACACTACGGTACAATATACAACACTACGCTACAATATACAACACTACGCTACAATATACAACACTGCGCTACAATATACAACACTACGCTACAATATACAACACTGCGGTACAATATACAACACTACGGTACAATATACACACTACGGTACAATATACAACACTCGGTACAATATACAATACTACGGTACAATATACAACACTACGGTACAATATACAACACTACGCTACAATATACAACACTACGCTACAATATACAACACTACGGTACAATATGCAACACTACGCTACAATATACAACACTACGCTACAATATACAACACTACGCTACAATATACAACACTGTGCTACAATATACAACACTACGCTACAATGTACAACACTACGGTACATTATGCAACACTACAGTACATTATGCAGCACTACGGTACAATATGCCACACTACGGTACAACATGCCACACTACATTAAGATACGGAATAAACATTGGTCTTATTAAACGAATTGTTTGAAAGGCTAGATGCACTCTACATCCACTGCTCTTTTCACGACATTCAACATCACATGACTTACTCTTTATATCGTTGAAGACGAACGAGCCAATAAGGACACAGGAACATCAGAGCACTTTGTGCAAGCACAAAAAATACACCCGCCAAAAGAGATATGGTCAGAACAGACACAAGAGCTATGAGTAGCAAACTCCAAGTCATGAAAGGTTGGCTGCGGGGGCAAAATGTCTAAAACAGTGAGGAGAGCACACTTATGGAGACGAAGAAAGAACTCAGTTATTTTTAACAGTGGCAAAAAACAAAAAATCAATTTAATAATGCTTGCTAAAGCAGTTCATCAATGCTTGTCAAAGCAGTTCATCAATGCTTGCTAAAGCAGTTCATCAATGCTTGTCAAAGCAGTTCATCTCAATAAAATAACTCAGCGTTAACTAGACTAAAATCATTGAATTGATTTGATCTCTACAAACTTAAGATGTTGACACACAAAATCTTTTAGTTTATTCAAATACCATATCTTTGCAGTGAGAATTGACAAATATTTATGCATTTTGAGGTTATGCATGCAGGCTCTTCGACTATACACGGAACCTTTCAAATGGTTGGTCATCAAACTCTTTTTGTATGAGATATTTTACAACTAATTGCAATCGATCTTTCATTAACTTAATAAAGTAAACAACGCAAAAAGAAAATGTACACTGAACATTCTTCTAACATACGCATTATGTAGTCCACTTTGGCAAACTCACTTCAACTGAAGTATAGTTAATGAACAAGAGAAAAAAATAAACCAACAACAAGCATTTACCAACCTTTAAAGTTTCACGAAACACGGGAAACAACGCAAAAATCTCCACAGCAAGTATAACGGTTACAAAAGCATGCCACGACGACGGAAGTCGCGAAGCAAGACACACAGAACCAAATATCGCTGTATTCAAAGATGCCGCCTTCGATACTCTACAGAAATAAAAACATACTGACGTCAAGACATCGGGAAGGAGAAAAAAACAATGATGTACGTAATTAACGCTGTGATTTTTAATCATTTTGTATCTTTTGTTTTCGCGCACTTTCTGATTTTTAATGTTGTCTATGATAGAGCTCGAGGTCTATTATTTTTTGTGCTAAAGTAGATTCGTCCTATGAAGAGGAATCAATGTTGTCGGATTGCGATACCAGCTCGTGGACTCCGGATTCCACGCTCTTGGATTCGGATTTCATGCTCGTGAATTCCTGATTCCAAAACTTAAATTTTGCTGGATTCCGGATCATTACTACGTTGATTGACTTGATTCTAGATTTATTAGTTATTACCAATTGAATTGCATGTCAAAGTTTTTTTTCCTTCAGGACAGACAAAAAGAAACAGAAACTTCTAAACACGCAAGCCAACATTAAGCTTTCGACCTTTTTTAACATTTGTTTTGCTGTAACATTTTCATTTGCACCAACAAATCAACAGCTAATGCAGATTTTTGTACTTAGAACTTACATGGCTCCACTAGCTCCGTAATCATGCATTATTAGATTCATCCCGAGCATACAGATCTAAAATAGTGCAAACAATATCTTTCATTTAATGATGTTTGAACTAACTGCATGCCAAGACTTGCAGAAGTTTCATTTTACCGTCATGGCATAAATAGTATCTGTGCTAATGGAATCTGTTAATGTTCTCAATATCGGAGAGAGTCCAAATGAGAATGCAAGAAACAGAACAAAACTCTTGAGATCATCTTGCACTATCAAACATGTTTGAATTTTAATAAGAGATATAAATTCAATGAGCAAAATACTTTTACTCAGGCAATCATGCAAATGATTGTTGGAGGATATTTTATCAAAGTAAACCAGTGACATATAGCCAGGGGGGTATGCCCCACCTACCAAAATTCTTGTATCCCTTAAAATATTGTTCTGTTTCACATATATTATATTTTTTGAATGACAGATACAGCCCCCTCCTTCCCTTTTGACTGCCCACCCCTTGACAGAATATCCTGGCTACACCACTAAAGTAACCATAAACCATTTTTGAGAAAATTAAATAACAACATAGTCAGCATAGGCAGTGAGAGGTGGAGACTGGGGATGGTTGGTTGGCATAAGACCCAGTTTTTTGAAAGTAAATTTTTATCAAAGCATTACTCTTCAAAAATATTTTTGTAGTAGTTGATTGCATTGACAGATGATAGATTTTCATAATTACAGATGTGGGAGCTAAAAATTTTCGGAACCACATTTGTACATTTAGAGCAAAGTTTGGATCTAGATTTAATTAAGGGTTGAGATTTAATTAAGGGACGGTCTGGTAGTGTAGGCATCAAAGGTAGTATAAAGAGTTGAAACATTGCCTAGAAAAGTCAGTTTAGCTGCACTTCTGGTTTATTTTGCTGAAAATAGGAAATTAACATGTTTCTTAGAGAGGAGAACATTTTAGGGGTGGGGTGGAGAAATAGGATTTTTTAGTGGGTGGCACCCCCTGCACCACAAAGAAATCTGTTTTTAATTGATTGCAATGATGATGTCCTACCTTTCATCTGTGTTCCTTCCCAACTGATAAACAGGTAAATAAAGTAAGAGATCGAGGTCACCATTACTGACATCAAGAACAGTACAGATGGTGAAATACACTCTTGCTTCATGTACACAAAACACATCACAAACAGACACAAACTAAAACAACAATTCAATAAAATAGAAATTTAGATGTGGCAAAAACATTGAAGTGTTTAAATTCTTTCACAAGACTTAGATGAAGATGGGATCATTGATTTGGTGTAAATGAAGCACTCTATAAGTACATTTTTTGTCAAAAATGAAGGGAAATAGTTAGATGATAAAACACTATTTTATGGCATCGTTTTCTACTCAATGCAAGGCAATGAAAGATAAATTTTCAAGAGATCCACAAGATCACAAAATTCAATGTTGTTGGCCAAGCCAATTGATATTTGTTGAAGAGTGTATATCTAGCACACTCATTACTTACATATCATCAATTTTTGAAGTATGCTAAAAGAAATGTTTATGTTTGGTGTACTTTAGGTTAAAATGGCAATCAATCTATAAATTGATGGTAGACTGTTAAACAGTTGAACTAGCTTATTCATGACGAGAATTGACGAAGAGGATGATAGTCAAAGAAAACCTGACTTTAACCTGCTAAATTGTTGTGAAACTCTTCCAGCTTCATTGGAGACAATCCAGAAATGATAGTTTCTTGTGTATACTAAAAAATATACTTTGTTATACGCATCCAATTCAAATCGTAGGCATAATTATCGATCTTTTACCATTCCTAGATTTCACTCAAATATTTACCATTTTTTTTCAGTTCATACAGGAAAGACTCGTCAACATAATTATCTGGGTAATTTTGTTCTTCGTACAAGATTTTTCTCCATGGCTTTTTCACCATTATAAGAAATTGTTTCTTAAAAAATAACAGAGTGTGAATTTGCTTGACAGACAGTCAAGTCATCCCACCTGAGATAGCAAAGGTTATAAGGGTGAAATTAATTACTTTGTATGAAGCATGTATATGTCAAAATGCACATTAGCTCAACCAACATAACAGCATAGTTAAATTTCAAAATTCTCATACAAAACCAATGATTTTTCAACAAAAACTAGGCCATTTCGAAAACCCACCAAACAATGACCAGTTCATTGTATCCCATCTGTCAGAATCATCGGTCAGAATCGATTGCAAATCGGCAATACCAGGGCAATACCAAGCAACACTATCCATTTAAAATCATGTACACTAACTTTAGTCTTAAAAATATTACTGATAAATAGTCATTATGTCATCACAGTCAATTTGTATTCCTAAGTACAAATGTGCAAGAACAAAAAATTATAAAAATACTGTGTTGGCTAAGAATTTTCTCTATAATTCAGCAACGCAATATACACATTTACTTCTTTACCGACCAAACCTTGTTATTTCTTCTTAATCGAGCTGCTTCAGAAAGATGAAAATTTGCTAAAAAACAGGGGAGAGCAGGACCCTGGTGAAGATACTGGACGAGGTTGGGGAAGCGGCCCAGCGGGGGAAAAACCTTCACACGTCATTACCACTGTCATTGCGATGAATGGAAAGTGCGAATGGTAACTTTACCAAGGAATGTTTAGGTGTAGAAAAGCTCTAGAATAGTTTACAACGAAATTGAAGTGCCTGTATTTTGGATATTCGGTGATAATGGCGATGTCTGAAGCGCATCGTGAATTTTTAAGAAAAAACAGGGAATATATCAAAAGAAATCTTGATGTTGATGCTGTTTGGCCACAAATGACGGACGTTCTGGATCGTAACTGCGAAGACAAAATTCGAGCAGAATCCACCCCTGAAGCTCGTACTTTGGAACTTCTTAATTTGCTGCATAGGCGAGGAGATGAAGCATTCATATCCTTTATTAGAGCGACACTTAAAGTTCAAAATGGGTTGGGGAACACTTGGCTGACTTAGCCGGACTTAATGTGAACCATATACTTCCAAATGCCACGCAAAGTACGACATTTTTTATTTCTTATACTGTTATATATTACGTACTGTGAGCTTGTTTGCCTGTCTATTATTTATTAATTCTGAAGATGTGAAATTCTCTAGATGATAAGAATGCAAATATTGACTTCACTTGTAGAAGTTTTAATGAAAAACCATTTTCTTATATATAAACAGAAACATCAGAAAGTTTTAAACCTTTTATTTTACCATTGTCTTACTTAGGAGAAACTGAAGAGCCTGGAATGAAAGAGGTCCATCGTCAAATTCTTGTGAACCATTTGTCCACATTTAAGCAATCACTTAATGTCGCTGAAATGGTTGAAAGTTTATCCAACAATGTGGCGATCACAAGCAGAAATCCTGGTGTCAACATCAGAGCTGTGTTGCAAGAGCCATCTATGGACAAAAAAGTGGAAAAGCTTATATGTGATGTGCTTCCAGCTTAGGGCCTGATGCATTCCAATATTTTTCAAAACCTTAGATAAAATCAGCCGCCTTGCCCATGATTTGAGGCAGTCAATAAAAGGTATGTAAAAAATGTAATAATTATTCCTCCTTGTTATTACATATACATGTTTATCCCTCTACATATCCTGTAAGTCAAATTCACCTCACTGATTTGTCAGCTACTCAACCTGGCGAACTAATTGATGAGAGACAATGCTATCAGGAGTCAACAAATGCTCATGTGACTGGGCAGACAACAGCCCAGTTTAATCTTGAAACGACCTGTTCAGATCTACCTGACCATGTTCAAAAAAAGTTAGAAGAACGTTTAAACAAAGGCAATGAGTTATTAGAGAACGACTGGAGAAGGTGATTTTCAAATGAATTAAAGCCTTTTTTTAACTCAGTTGATGTTTTTCTTTATTAGGAACTAAATGTTTTTAGTAAAGTTTTATTCCTTATCTGAGCACAAATTGACTTTTTTTCAAGCCTGTACAAAGCAGTGAATTTGCCACAAGGTAAAGAAAACATCATTGCTGAAAAATTCTCTGACAACCCCACACGATATGTGTTGGACACTTGGTTTGATAGAGATGGACAACGTGCCAATGTGAAAGCACTGCTCCTAGCATTGAAAGAGTGTAAGCAGGGAGCTTAGCTCATGAGATAGAAAGGGATTTGGATGTTAAGCTACCTGATCAAGTTCCGCAAGACACCGTTGATGGAATCCGTGACATGCAATTAAATGAAAACGAGAAAAGAACCGGTAAGTGAAGTTGGAATGAGTGGTTGTCTAATTTTTCAAAGCAAAGCATGGTGGTTGAGCAGTTGCATCAAACAGCCAGCCAACACATTTTGTTTATACTATGTAAATTTCATATCATTATTGTTCTTTTCCCATCTGTTTTATTCACAGTAAGTAAACACATTAAAATTTACATAGCAGGACTAAATTTGTGGGATAGCAACGCCACTCCTCACCTGCAAGGATTAGTTTTCGAATAATGACTCCAAGTTCTTGAGGCTTGGTCTGACATGTTTTACTTTCATGTCCAAAAGTAAGGTTGGAGATAAACTTTAGAGTTTGCTTTACATGATTAATTATATTTAGGTCAATGTATTAAGGTGTAAGGTGGAAATGCAGTAACGTAGCCAGCTCGACTTTTACTCCCGCTGGTATTCAAATATTTTTGTGTTTACTAGCTGTGAGAAGAATAGATTTATAAAAAGATGAATAATGGTTATCCATGAGAATTTACATAACCAAAGGAAATCTACAGGCTGGCTACGTTAAGGTGTAAATGTTAAACAAATATTTCAATTTGGTTTACATTAAGATATCCTAATTTAGTCTCCATCTTAATTAAGCTTTGAGGTTCGTGAAGGAGATACCGGGAGAATTAAAAGTTCAGTTGATAAAACAATTAAACCAAGTTAGTGTTGATGTTCTCTCAGAAATTGCGACAAAAATCTTGGAGGTGCGATGTTACGTGCTCGACAGTACTGATTTCATGGATAAATTGAAAGAGAAGAAAATAAGATTTCTCTTTCGGGAACTTCGAAGAGAAGGTCAGACGAGGGATATTGTTCGTTGGATGAGAAATAAATTTCCTGTTGGCAGCACAGGTTGGTAGCCTACGTGTGCTAAACTAGTATTGTAACAATTTGAATAAATGAATGTATTCCATTGGTTTGAATTAGGGTAAGTTAAATAAATCTGCTTTCAGTGTAGGTTACGTTCAACTTCCAGCAAAAGAATATTTGGTGTACATTACGTTGACATTGTGATAAATGATTTTTGTTTTTGAACTTCTGCAGGTCCTGTGAAATGCGATGATAACCTGAAAACCGAGAACATGAACTATGGCGTTAGAAAGGAAGTGACTGAATATTTATCTTGTGAGTTCAATCATACTTCGAATTTCAATGATAATAAAATATATTGTTACATGTTTGTAAATGTAGATCGTCCAGGTTGGTATAGTCCTGAGAAGGACTGTTTTTGTTATTGGTAACTGACCTTTCGACAAACTTAGCGGTAGTCATCTTCAGAGTCAAACCTTAGCGGTAGTCATCTTCATCATCATCATTTTCCTCTTTTGACTCTGAAGAAGACTACCGCTAAGGTTGTCGAAACGTCAGTCAACAACAACAAAAACAGTCCTTCTCAGGACTATACCAACCTGGATGATCTACATTTACAGACATGTAAGGATACTCCCGGGTTCAAACCATTTACTTTAAAATATATTGTATCGTTTTTCACTTTAATTAAATGTACGCGATACACCTTTTTTTCATACACAGTGCAAGATTGGGAAATTCTCGCCAGTCACAGGGACATAGATTTGAAAAAATTGGACATCGGTATGATCAAGAAAAGGTCGGCGGATAATCCTGCCGAAGCTGTCATTTCTCGATGGGAAGCAATGAACAACTCTTCTGTTGGCATGATGTACGATCTACTGGTTGACTGTAAATTCTACAAAATTGCCGATCTCTTATGATGGTATAATAAACATGTTTAAATACGTAGGTCTTGAATATAGTAGTAAAGCTCTTGAATATGCACCCAGTGCAGTAGTGTATGGTGAACTGTAAGAATTTTCGAATGGCACTGATTACTAAAAGTCTGTGAACTCCATGTTTGAAACACTTTTTGTCTAAGAAACAGCGGTAAAGTGAACTGTTTCACTATCTCTGTAATCAGAAAATTTTTTTAAAAACTGCTACTGTTGAATGTGAGCAGGATAAACACTATACCATACTTATTTCATAGCGAGATTAAAACACGTCAGTTTATGCATACATTGTGTAAGGGAAGTTGATGTCAGCTGTGTCTTACTTCGTTTTTCTCGTGAAACGTTAGTCTTATCGTGAATTACGAACAATTTGTAATAATTTGTTTACTTATTTCTATTCCCGCGCATTTTAAATGTAAGCAATTAAGTATGAAACAGGTATGAAAATATGTGTGTTAATTGCTATATGAAATAAAGTCTATCAAATTTAGTAGACTGAGGAACGACTCGCAAAACTGTGTTTTTTCATCTCTTACTTATTGAAATTTGAGAGTTAGAAAATGACGTCATTTAAGATTTCAAGGTCAGACGTTCGGAACACAACGGAATGTTATCGTAGGTGATCGTACGTATCTTGGCACTACAATCTTTTCAAAATGTAAAGACAATATATGATCGAAACGCTTTTCTTTGTTGCAAGGTACACAAATTTTAAGCTTTTCGCATGAAAACTGGAGAATACTGTGTAGCCCACTGAACTTTATCATGCAGAAGCGCTGCAGAGGAAACCCAAAAAATAATTCAATACTTCACTAGAACTGTTCTTCAACCTTACCAAATCCGTAGAGACAGAATGAATGTATCCGACTTGCTCTCTCTTGTGTTATAAAATGCTGTCATCTTATGCTTTTATGATAATTGGTGGGTTGGTTTAGAATATTCATAGTGTGTGAATGGAATTTGAGTTCGATGTCAACAAAATTTTGCCAAATCCAATCACGTATGTCGACAGCAAAATGTGCACGTTTGGAAAACATGCGAGAGAGTAAGTTTCTATTTCATACTTCACTTCACTTCACAATGTAAAGAGTTGAAACATTGCCTAGAAAAAGTCAGTTTAGCTGTACTTCTAGTTTATTTTGCTAAAAATAGGACAGTTAATATGTTTCTTAGAGGGGAGAACAATTTATTTAGGGGGGTGAAATAGGATGTTTTTAGGGGTGGCACTCCCTGCACCACAAAGAAATTCGTTTGTAATTGATTGCAATGACGATGTCCTACCTTTCATCTGTGTTCCTTCCCAACTGATAAACAGGTAAATAAAGTAAGAGATTGTAAATTCTTTAACAGAGAGTGTAAATTCTTTAACAAAACTTAGACGAAGATGAGATCATTGATTTGGTGTAAATGAAGCAATCTATAAGTACTTTTTGTCAAAATGAAGGGAAATAGTTAGATGATAAAACACTACTTTATGGCATCGTTTTCTACTCAATGCAAGGCAATGAAAGATAAATTTTTAAGAGATCCACAAGATCACAAAATTCAATGTTGTTGGCCAAGCCAACAGTGTATATCTAGCACAATCATTACTTACATATCATCAATTTTTGAAGTATGCTAAAAGAAATGTTTATGTTTGGTGTACTTTAGGTTAAAATGGCAATCAATCTATAAATTGATGGTAGACTGTTAAACAGTTGAACTAGCTTATTCATGACGAGAATTGACGAAGAGGATGATAGTCAAAGAAAACCTGATTTTAACATGCTAAATTGTTGTGAAACTCTTCCAGCTTCATTGGAGACAATCCAGAAACGATAGTTTCTCGTGTATACTAAAAAATATACTTTGTTATACGCATCCAATTCAAATCGTAGGCATAATTATCGATCTTTTACCATTCCTAGATTTCACTCAAATATTTACCATTTTTTCAGTTCATACAGGAAAGACTCGTCAACATAATTATCTGGGTAATTTTGTTCTTCGTACAAGATTTTTCTCCATGGCTTTTTCACCATTATAAGAAAATGTTTCTTAAAAAATAACAAGTGTGACTTTGCTTGATAGACAGTCAAGTCATCCCACCTGAGATAGCAAAGGTTATAAGGGTGAAATTAATTACTTTGTATGAAGCATGTATATGTCAAAATGCACATTAGCTCAACCAACATAACAGCATAGTTAAATTTCAAAATTCTCATACAAAACCAATGATTTTTCAACAAAAATTAGGCCATTTCGAAAACCCACCAACCAACGACCAGTTCATTGTATCCCATCTGTCAGAATCATTGGTCAGAATGCATTGCAAATCGGCAATACCAGGGCAATAGCAAGCAATACTATCCATTTAACATCATGTACACTAACTTTAGTCTTAAAAATATTACTGATAAATAGTCATTATGTCATCACAGTCAATTTGTATTCCTAAAGTACAAATGTGCAAGAACAAAAAAATTATAAAAATACAGTGTTGGCTAAGAATTTTCTCTATAATTCAGCAACGCAATATACACATTTACTTCTTTACCGACCAAACTATCAATAGCTTGTTCATTTTGATGTTAAAAAGAAGAAAAATAATAATGTTATTTCTTCTTAATCGAGCTGCTTCAGAAGGATGAAAATTTGCCGAAGAACAGGGGAGCTCAGGACCCTGGTTAAGACCCTGGACGAGGTTGGGGAAGCGGCCCAGCGGGGGGAAAACCTTCACACGTCATTACCACTGTCATTGCGATGAATGGGAAGTGCGAATTGTAACTTTATCAAGGAATGTTTAGGTGTAGAAAAGCTCTAGAATAGTTTACAACGAAATTGAAGTGCCTGTATTTCGGATATTCGGTGATAATGGCGATGTCTGAAGCGCATCGTGAATTTTTAAGAAAAAACAGGGAATATCTCAAACGAAATCTTGATGTTGATGCTGTTTGGCCACAAATGACGGACGTTCTGGATCGTAACTGCGAAGACAAAATTCGAGCAGAATCCACCCCTGAAGCTCGTACTTTGGAACTTCTTAATTTGCTGCATCGGCGAGGAGATGAAGCATTCATATCCTTTATTAGATCGACACTTAAAGTTCAAAGATGGGTTGGGGAATACTTGGCTGACTTAGCCGGACTTAATGTGAACCATATACTTCCTAGTGCTACGCAAAGTACGACATTTTTTATTTCTTATACAGTTATATATTACGTACTGTGAGCTTGTTTGCCTGTCTATTATTTATTCATTCTGAAGATATAAAATTCTCTAGATGATAAGAATGCGAATATCGACTTCACTTACTGAAGTTTTAATGAAAAACCAACTTCTTATATATAAACAGAAACATCAGAAAGTTTTAAACCATTTATTTTACCACTGTCTTACTTAGGAGAAACTGAAGAGCCTGGAATGAAAGACGTCCATCGTCGAATTCTTGTGAGCCATTTGTCCACATTTAAGCAATCACTTAATGTTGCTGAAATGGTTGAAAGTTTATCCAACAATGTGGCGATATAAGCAGAAATCCTGGTGTCAACATCAGAACTGTGTTGCAAGAGCCATCTATGGACAAAAAAGTGGAAAAGCTTATATGTGATGTGCTTCCGCGTTTAGGGCCTGATGCATTCCATGAGTGGAAAGCAGAGAAACTTTGGATAAACGCCGAGTGAAAGGCAATCTTTATGAAATGTAACATCTAGTTCTGCTTTCCGTTGTTTCGTTTGAAGCATTTCAAACTTCCGCAATTCTTATAAGGAAACCTTTCCTTCGTATTTTGCAAGCCGATTCATATTCAAACGGATCAGGGCTTGGAATTTTTCAATCGGGACTTTAAGAAACTCATGACAGAAGAAAACATTACATTGTTCAACACATTTAAGGAGACAAAGGCATCGATTGTTGAACGTTTGATACGTACACTGAAAGCAAAAATGTGGCGTTACTTCACCGCAAATAAAACGATGAGATACAACGACATGTTGCCCGATCTTATGTATTCTTATAATCATAGATAGATAGATAGATGATTTATTTCTGGCAGATGGCGTTAAAGTAGGGCCGGTGAACAATTTCTTGCATAGTTTGTTTAAGCAAGTTGATGTGTTTTTGAAAGAGAAGCTAGTAACCCAAGCGACAGGAACTTATCCTTATCGTGCATATATCGATACACTTTTGAATTATGGTCCATCAGCTAAACAATCCCAGCTGACAGCTGCATTGTTTTACAAGGACGAAGCTTCAAAAATGGAGGTTGCCGACCCAGCAAACGCCAGTCCAAACAAAGGCTTGAAAACACAAAGTAAGTTTACTGCGAGAAGTGCAATTGTCGAAATGGGAGGCCCTATATTTTGTGATGTTTTCTTCGGTGAACGCCTCCTGCTTAGCTATGTTGATTTGAAAGTGGTATTGAACCGCACCAGTGACGAGTTTGCCCTAATGGCATCCGAGGACGATGCAGCATTTAAAGTGAAACTGACTGAGTACAAATCACGATGAGATAGAAAGCATCTCTGATAGTTCTGACAGTTCTTGCAAAACCAAGCAAAAGGTTAAAACGAAGAGACGTGGAAGAAAGGCAGCTTGGAAAGATTCTCATATGAATGTTTTATGCAGTGCGGTGTTTGAAATTAAATGAAGATATGATCTTCGCACTTTGCTGGACAATTTAAGCAATCGTCTCAGGAACCTGATAAAATCAGGTGACTCAACGGGATTCGAACCCATGACCTCATCAGGTTCCTGAGACGATTGCTTAAATTGTCCAGCAAAGTGCGAAGATCATATCTTCATTTAATTTCAAACACCGCACTGCATAAAACATTCATATGAGAATCTTTACAAGCTGCCTTTCTTCCACGTCTCTTCGTTTTAACCTTTTGCTTGGTTTTGCAAGAACTGTCAGAACTATCAGAGCTGCTTTCTATCTCATCGTGATTTGTACTAGCATTTTCCTGGCCTGAATTGATTTGTTTCTTTTTCAATCTACTTAAGGAAAAGCTCACTTGATCAACATGTTTTGGCTTATTTACCCGCTTGTCGATCGCACACTTATTACAATAATCCACGCTCACTTGAGCCAACCATCCAAATGTATCTTCATCCAATTCTGCCACGCAGCATACATTACAAATGGGAAGGTTACAAGTTATACAATGATATTTTGTTGGCTCATCACAAACAAAACAATCTGCATCCGCCATATTGTTTCATGACTATTTCTGCTGAATTGCCGCCATGAAATAAAACGCTGTCTATGATTGGTTGAAATAATTTTATATAATTAATGATTTTAATTCAATGCGACTTTAGTTCATCGTCTATTTCTAACGCATTTGTGTCGCATAATGCGTCAATCTCCGACGAATCTAATTCACTTTGTCGAATTTAATATATGAGATGTAAGTTTCCAAGTTATACGTCGCAGTATCGTCGAATAAAATTGCGATATTTGATTAAGGCCTAAAAGTCATGAATGAAGAAATTGGAATATCTAATGAGATGCTGTGGCATCGACGTCTGGGTCATCTCGGAGGTCACAGATTGAGACAAATTGTGAATAAAAATTTAGTGAAAGGATTAAATTTTGACATGAAGAAGAATCTAGAATTCTGTGATGAATGTGCAAAAGGAAAGCTTCATCGTAATTCGTTTCCTCATGGTGAAGCGAACAGAGCATCTGATCCTCTTGGTCTAGTGCACAGTGACGTCTGTGGGAAATTAAATGTAAAACCCTGTGGTGGTGCAGAATATTTCTTGACGTTTACTAATGATAAAACTCGATATGTTATGATTTATACTTTGAAAGAGAAAAGTGATGTATTCAGTAAGTTTCAAGAATAGAAAGCTTCTGTTGAAAAAGCAAGTGGGTATAAACTTAAAACCTTAAGAAGCAACAACGGCGGCGAATTCACGTCGAATGAATTCAAAAGCTACCTAAAATCTGAAGGAATAAAGCAAGAGCTCACCATACCAAAAAACTCCCGAGCAAAATGGTGTAGCTGAGCGTCTTAATCGAAGGAGCCTGAAACAAACGAGAGTCCACCTGGACGT